GTTCCATGGGTTCCATGTCTGTGTAGCAATTGTGGAATTACGAATTGAAATGATATCCTACGAACATCTTGTTTCAATTATAGACCTTATTCAAAGTAAATGTATATTATCAGTTGTTCAACCAGTTGGGTCTTCCATGTGGTTATACTATTGCTATAGGATTGACTCCAGCCAATTCGCTTATACAGTTTCTGTCGTTGACTGAGGGTTTCAGATATCTGGTCCATTTGGGTCAAAATAATATTAGGGACGTTATATTTCAGACATTCTTGATTTGAGTTGTCTTTTTAGATGTTCTTTTTTTTTAAGAAAAAAAATCTCTTCTAAAATGTTGTGATATACATATATAATCATGGATATGCTCTTTGGGGAGTCCCCAAATATATTTCGAATTGCCACGGGATTTCTTGGCGCAAACTTCTCCAACTTCTATTCCAACACTTTTAATCTTAAAACTTGGCTTATACCCTGCTTGCAAGTCTTTCCCTGGCATTGAGCTTGGTCTATTACACCTCTACATTTTGTGCAACATGCGCTGCCTCTAAGACCCCGACTCACAATATCCACACCTTACCTTTCCTGACGAAGAACCTTGGAAGCTCCTCCCTGCACATCCATCAACCTTTTAATTCCCCCCATAATAACAGTCTATATCACGCACCATGGACAATAAAAATTTCGTGTCTGACAATCTCCTCCGCCTAACGGGCGCGTCAGAACCCACCGTCATCGATTTTGTGCTCGCGACCGCCAGCTCAGCCAAGTCGATCTCCTCCCTCCAAGATACCCTCGTGTCATTCCTGGACGGCATAGATGCTAGCTCAGCTGAAATTGGTGCCTTTGCTGAGGAGCTCCATGCCCGCATGGGCAAGGGCGCACAGTCCAGCGCGTCTGCCTCCAAACCCACGGCGAGCAAGGAATCCACGAAAAAGAAATACCGTCTGGTAGACATGGGCGAAGACCAACCAGAACCCGCCCCATCGCTAGGACCAACCCACATCGAGGCAGACCGAGAACGACGGAGGAGACGGGACAGAGACAGCGACAAGGACAGGAGCGGTAGCAAGCGAGACTCCGAGCCTCGGAGTCGCGGGGAAAAGGACGACAGCCGAAAGCGAGACCGAAGCCGCGATGCAGAGAGCCGCGACCGGCCACGGATGAGGAAGCTCCGTAAGAAGGGCTCTCAGGAGTTCGACGATCGATGGGGCGACGAAGAGATCCTCGAAGACGAGATGTACCCGGAGGAGTTTGAAGAATCCCCCCGAAGCGCACGCGACTCGACGATGGTTCCGCGTCTCCCGATCCCGCGTCACCGGCCGACGATATCGATATCGACCCTAAGACTAAGCAAGAGATCGACCGCCAACGAGATCTTCGTGAACGAGACGAGTTTGCCAAACGACTGGCCAATAAAGAAAGTAGCAAGTCGAAGAAGATTGTTGAGGATCGGACACGCGACGGCGAGGCTGCACGGCGACGTGCGCTGGGCGACGATGCCAGCGCGCGAGCTTCGATGATGCCCGATCTGCGGGAAAGATCTCGACAGGAATATTTGAAGAAGCGCGAGACAGAACGGTTAGCACTGCTGCGACGACAGGTTATAGAGGAGGCCACAGAGTTGCGTGAGAACCCGAATCTGTCTCGCAAGGAGAAGGAGGAGTTCACGCGCAACCGAGAGGTCCTTCGTCTCGCCGAGGAACGGCTTCGGATTGACGATCACCGTGATGGTTATCAGATGCCATCTGATTATATTACGGAGAAAGGGAAGATCGACCGGAAGAAGAAGGAAGAGGCTCTGTACAAGCGGTACGTTGAGCGCGATGAGCTGGGCCAGGAGCGATTCGTCACAGAGCACGAGGAGTGGGAGCTGGAGCAGGCGGCCAAGGCCAAGGCACAGATCAAAAAGGCCGAGTTCGTCGACGAGGGAGACTATGAGTATGTCTTCGATGATTCGCAGCAGATCAACTTTGTTATGGACGCCAAACTCGAGGGCACGCAAAAGCCACTGACGAAAGAACAGCTGCGGTTCAAGGAGCAGGTCGACGCAGCGGAGAAGAAAGCCCTCTCTATGGAGGAAACCCGCAAGAGTTTGCCCATCTATCAATTCCGTGATCAGATCATCCAGGCTGTAGCAGAGCATCAAGTTTTGATTATTGTTGGTGAAACTGGTTCTGGAAAAACCACACAGATCCCACAATACCTCCACGAGGCCGGTTATACCAAGGACGGCCTCAAGATTGGTTGCACGCAGCCGCGACGAGTGGCTGCCATGAGTGTTGCTGCTCGCGTGGCGGATGAAATGGGTACGAAGATCGGAAATGAAGTTGGTTATGCCATTCGATTTGAGGACAACACCAGCGACAAGACTATCCTCAAGTATATGACCGATGGAATGTTGCTGCGAGAACTGTTGACAGAGCCGGACCTGAGCCAGTACGCTGCCTTGATGATTGACGAGGCGCACGAACGGACGGTGCCAACAGATATTGCCTGTGGTCTGCTCAAGGATATTGCCAAGGCACGACCTGATCTGAAGCTGCTCATTTCCTCGGCCACGATGGATGCGCAGAAGTTCCAGAAGTATTTCGACGATGCGCCCATTTTCAATATTCCTGGTCGTCGATACCCCGTCGACGTGCACTACACTTCACAGCCTGAAGCCAACTACCTCGCCGCAGCCATCACAACGGTCTTCCAGATCCATGTCACGCAAGGTCCTGGAGATATTTTGGTCTTCTTGACTGGACAAGAAGAAATCGAGGCCGCCGAACAAAGTTTACAGGAAACGGCTCGAAAACTTGGGAGTAAGATTCCGGAGATGATTATTGCTCCTATCTACGCCAACCTGCCGTCCGAACTGCAGACTAAGATTTTCGAGCCTACTCCGCCTAAGGCGCGAAAAGTGGTGCTTGCCACCAATATCGCCGAGACTAGTTTGACTATCGATGGTATTGTCTACGTGATTGACCCCGGATTCGTTAAGGAGAACGTGTTCAACCCACGTAGTGGCATGGAGAGCTTGGTCGTGACGCCGTGTTCGCGTGCCTCGGCCAACCAGCGAGCCGGACGTGCTGGACGTGTCGGGCCGGGCAAGTGTTTCCGCCTGTATACCAAGTGGGCGTACTATAACGAGCTGGAAGAGAACACCACCCCAGAGATTCAACGTACCAACTTGAACGGAGTGATTCTGATGCTGAAGTCGCTGGGCATCGACCAGCTACTCGACTTCGACTTCATGGACCCACCGCCGGCGGAGACCATCATCCGCGCTTTGGAGCAGCTGTACGCGCTCGGGGCACTCAACGACCGGGGCGAGCTGACCAAGGTCGGCCGGCAGATGGCTGAGTTCCCAACGGACCCGATGCTCGCCAAGGCGATCCTTGCCGCCGATAAATACGGATGCGTAGAAGAAGTGCTGTCGATCGTGTCGATGCTCGGCGAAGGCAGTGCACTCTTCTTCCGACCCAAGGACAAGAAGATCCACGCGGACAGTGCACGCAACCGCTTCACCATCAAAGACGGCGGTGACCACCTGACGCTATTGAACGTCTGGAACCAATGGGTCGACTCGGACTTCAGTACGATCTGGGCGAAGGAGAATTTCCTGCAGCAGCGCAGTCTGACGCGGGCGCGCGATGTGCGCGACCAGCTCGCCAAACTGTGCGACCGCGTCGAGGTCGCCGTCAGTACCTGTGGGTCTACGAATATCCAGCCAATTCAGAAGGCCATCACGGCTGGGTTCTTCCCCAATGCGGCACGACTCCAGCGTGGCGGTGACAGTTACCGCACTATCAAGAATGGACAGTCGGTGTACTTGCATCCATCTAGTACGCTTATGGAGGTTAACCCTCGCTGGGTCATCTACTTTGAGTTGGTGCTTACCAGCAAGGAGTACATGCGCAGTAATATGCCACTGCAGCCGGAGTGGCTGGTTGAGGTTGCGCCACATTACTATAAGAAGAAGGACTTGGAGAGTCTGGGGTTGGATCGCAAGGTGACGAAGGGGCAGGGGGCGGCTGGGGAAAAGAGTCGGGAGTAGAAGGGATATATGGGGATGTACAGGTTACATATGAAACATGACATATCCAAGTATGTATCCGTACCAGTACCTACACATGTACATGTAGTTGAATAGTTAACTAGTTGAATAGCCTCATATCTGTATAGAAATAGACACCTCAGGCACCAATTCTCCCCAACCAATCACCGCCCGGGCAATTCAAACCGCGGCAAATAAGCCCGAACCTCGGTTTCTCCGCTTTCCCCCAGACTTTCTCGGGATTTTATACGTCACGTCAGTTACTTATTTTCCTTTTGTATCTCCTGATCCCATCTATCTTCCACCTCTCAACTTCTCAATCTACCTCAAAAAAATGTCCAAAACATTCACCCCCGCCGAAGTGGCCAACCACAAGACCGCCGATCAGGGCCTCTACATCATCATCGACAACAATGTCTACGACGTAACCAAGTTTGTCGACGAGCACCCCGGCGGCGCAAAGATCCTCAAGCGTGTAGCGGGCAAGGATGCCTCGAAGCAGTTCTGGAAGGTATATATTCCCTTCTCCTTTCTCTCTCCCTTTAAAACCAAGACATTATTTGTTATGATCGGCTATCGGCCGAGTCGGCTATTGAAAGCATGCAACTAACACCGTTTAGTATCACAACGAATCCGTGCTGAAGAAGTACTCGCCTAAGCTGAAGATTGGCGAAGTCAAGGATGCCGCGAAGCTGTGAATCCTCTATTGGAAAGTGAAGGAAATGATAGACTGAAGTGTTTTGGTTTTGGGGGGATCAGCCCACTGCAGGACCACCCCGGTCAACTGCACACCACAGAAATGCCACGATGCTGTATTTACTCCGCTAGCGAACGTTATACCCGCGATTCGAGTTTGATTCTTTTGCTTTGTGAAATACCATCTTGCTACCTGGGGCATGAATAGAACAGAGAATAGAACAATATAGGAGATTAGAGGTTGATACTACAGAAAGCTTCATTCTTGTTCATGATAAAACTTATACATTATGTTCAGGCATATAAACACGAAGACCAATACATATATCCAGGATCTGCTTGGTTGATAGTTGTAATGTCAGAAAAAAGAAACGCCCTTCTCCCTCCCGCTGCACGAGAAATAGTATCCGAATCAAAGTGGTATCAACTCGAAAGCGACAAATGGTAAATGACAGGTGATAGGTGTGTGAGGTGAGTAAAGCAGAGAACAAACATGAATAGGTGACAGTGACAAAATAGAAGATGAATATGTCCAGTGACGATGTACGCAGACAAGCCACGAAGAGACGTGGCGATGAACCTGCGCCAAAAAGGTGTGTTGTTGAAAGAAAAGAAGGAATAGGTATATGGTAAGTAATAAGTAAGGAAGAAAAAAGAAGAAACGAGAAAAAGGCAGAGAGAGGGCAAGCGAAACCCATCCACTCTAGAATTAGAATCCCCGCCATTGATCCTCAGGACGGTATGAGAACTCACTGCCATGAACCGAAGGCGTGTCAAACTCATACCGCCTCTCACTCCACTGACTGGAAGTCTTGCGGATATGGCGCTGCCGTGGAGGGGCACGGGGGCGATTGATCTGCTCGGCGTGGTGATCGATGAAAGCCTCCATACGCACAGTGCCTATATCGAACATGTTGCTGCCCGCCACACTGGAAGCACGGCCACTCGCCTCGGAAGTGCGTCGACTGATACTGCCGCGGCGGCTTCCAATGCCTGGGGGTGGGGCTGGGGGCTGTATGGCGGGGAAATGCAGCTCCGACGAGCCGGCCGTGGTGCCGCTGTGTGAAGACGGCATAGTGCCGGCGCTAGAGAAGCTGCGGAGAGCGTGGAGGGCTGGGGGGCGGGGTGCGGTGTTGCTGCGCTTGCGGTTGTGGGTTGAGAAACGGGGTACGTGTGGTGCATCGGCTGCTAGGTCGATGCTGCCGCCTGGGATTTCGGGGACTGGGGCTGGAGCGCCGGCGCTGTTGAAGGAGCGTTTGCCCTTTGGCATTGGGCGGGGGCGGCCCTTTGCGACGCGGATGGAGTCGCGGATTGGGTTTCGGCGGAGAGAGGCGAGGGGTAGGGTTGGGGACTCTTCTTGTGGGACTGGAGGTAGGGCCGCTAGTTCTTGGAGGCCCATGGAGGAATGGCTGAGGAAGGAGAGGGCCGTTAGCCAGACGTAGTGGCGTTCAATGGTTAGCGCTGTGAATTTTAGAGCGCGCTGTGGTGTCAGCACCAGGATGGAGCGGTTGAATGGGGTCGAAGAGCCGGCGCCTTTGGGTATGGGGTTGTCATCTTTGACGTCCAGGACGGATTGGATGGTGACTATAACGAGGGGAGATACCATGTCAGCTAACACTCCAACTAACTCAACCGAGTTCCTTGAAGACTTACACTTTCGACCACTCTTGCCGAGCAAGGCAGGCCCACTCGTGGGCTGTCTACTACTCCACATAATGGAGCCTTCGTACGGGGCGAGCCAAACCCATCGCTTATGTCGCACACCGCTGTTCGTGATATTCGCCGACACATCGTCGGGGTTCTTGCCCTCCCAACTCTCCTTGGACTCGCTCATTCCGAATGATTTGCGTCGACGGACGTATTTAAACATCCACTCGCCAACCATGGTTTGAGCAATGGCATCAACGACACTGGTCGGCTGCACGCCGCCGGTGGAATCCTTTCGTTCACGCTGTTCACGGTTCCAGGATTGAGACGGAGTCGCGCGGTGCGAGGGGACGCGTTTCGGGGGCCCGTACCGCTCACGAGGTGCTGTGATCTCATCACACGGCATCGGCGGTGGTGGTCGGTATGGGCGGTATGTGGGGCTCTCTGGGGAAAAGGTCGAGATCGATCGTGATGGGGAAGACTGAGTTTCTGGTCTCTCAGTAATATCCGACTGTGACGTTGCTGCAGCGGATCGGACTCGGCGGAGAGTTGGGCGCCGGACGACGGATTGGCGACCGCGGTCTGAGAACTGTCTGCCGGCTGAGCGAGTAGGACTTGGAGGTCCGTCGCTGCCGTTGAGCGGGAGCTTGCGTGAGCTTAGACGGATGGGCACGGGGAATGGCGGTGCAATGCTTGAGCCTGCACTGCCGCTCTCGAGGCTTGGTTCGCTGGGACTGCGGGCCCGGGGCTTCTGGTGCGCGGCGGTTCCGCTGGAGATCATGGCCATTTTGCGCATGCCGGGCTGGCGAATACTCGAGGACGCCGTGCCAGACCGTTGGGGAGCCCGAGAACGGCCAATATTGGGTGGTCTCGACTCCGGGGAAGACAGGTGCTCGTCGACTTCGGGGAGAGGCATGTCGTCCAAGCTAGGTTTTGATTTCGTGGTGATGAGCTTGCCACGACTGACAGTGTATGCAGCAAATGGGCGGTTGAGGAGCTCATCGTCGGTGAAGACATCACGCTCGCCATGGGGGCCTTCGTCGTCGCTATTATGTTCAAAGCCGGCGAAGAGACTGCTAGACCGTAAAGGTCGTCGAATATTGGACAAGGCATCATCTGAGAGCGGACCATTGTCGTTGTTACCGGGGTAGGCCTGCACATGATCTGAACCAGGTGCTCTAGGAGGCTTCACGGGACGATCTGTCGGCTGATCTGTTATCAGATGTCTCTGCTTTCGTTTTTCGGACCGCGGCGGAAGCGGGGGCACAGTGTAAGACTCGAGGCTAGGCTCGTGAGGTTCAGGACGAGGTAGTGCATCTTGAATAGCAGAAGGAAGAAGACTAGCCGGCAGTTTGACAGGGCGTTGATCGACACGGATCTCCTCGGTCTGGATGGCGACGGATCGGCAATCAGCAATTGCTCGGAAGTTGGCCTGACAAGCGACATTTTTGGTTTGCGGTGGAAGAACGACACTGTTCCGAGGTGAGGATGGCTCTGAGCCTGGTGGGTGGATAGCGATCATTGGAATGTCCATCGATGGGACATCATTCGGGGATAAGTTGATACGTTTCTCGCTTTGAACAACATCTGTTTCCGGGACCACATCAGTCTGGGTGGACGCCGATGTCATTCGCGCCGGCTCTGTGGTGGATTCAACAGTTTGAGGCGACTCAGCCACATTGGGCGTCCATGGAGGACTTGGGGGTTCATCCACGGTCTGACAAGAGCTAGAAACCATCTGAGGTGCAACGGGGAGCGTGGCGCCGTCTTTCGTTCCAGGTATGTTCGCGTTCTTGTCTTCTTTCTCAGGCTCTGAAGCGGTTTTCGTGGGCTTGGGAGCAATGTCGTATACAACCTTCGCTTCTATCGTAGGCGACGGAGGAGGTGAGTACTGGATGCCGATATCGCGGTATTCGACCGCCGAGTCAAGTTTCACTGGGCTAGCAAGCCCGAGTTCCCGGGCACGGAAATCCATGGCAGTGGGTGAGTATAATTCTGAGCTCTGAAGGGACAGACCCAGGATCTTCCTGGCCTTGGAAGAAATACTATGTGATCCTTGTGAGTGGACCGACATTGGACGTTCCTCGGGGAGAGCCTCCGGAGAGGCGGGCAGCTCATCATCAGATGGAACAAACTCCTCCTCTTCATCGAAGTCGAGTTCCTCTGCCAAGTTCAGACCTGAACTATTCTTGCCCCCAGGCGCAATACTCATAACCGAGTACCGCACGTTATGGAATATGACCGCCTCTTCACCTTCTTCCGAGCTCACGCTGGTCACACTCGTGCGTCGGCGGCCTAGGCTACTAGATGCCACGCTGGCCGAGTCGCTTTCTTTATTTTTGTCATGAACAAGGTCACCATTCTCACTTGGCTGCGAATGCGAGTGGATAGTCGCCACTTCCTGGGCGGCTGCAACCTCATTCAAAACGGTCTTCAAGCGGCCCTCCACTACGTGAACCTTGCGTTCCAGGGCTCGGCGTTCATCCGCCCAGGACTCTTGATCGCGATTCCAGAGTAATTGGGTTCGTTCGACATCCTCCTCCCGACTTCGAGCTTTTTTCTGTGCCTGCTCGAGCTTTTTACGAACATCGCTGATGTTCTCGACCGCTTCATCACGCTCCCGAGCTAGCTCGGTCATCGCAGATGATGTCCCACCTTCCAGTAGTTGGATTTGGTGTTTCAACGAGCGCCCTTCCCAGGTCGCCCGGGAGAGATTCGCGGTCAATGTTTCATTTTCGGTCCTTGATTCGTCCAAGCTCTCTTCCAATCCGTCGATTGACTTGGTTTTGTTCTCTATCTCTCGCCGCAGCGAGAGAATCTCCGATACGAGAGATGCATGGAGAGTAGGGGTGATCCTCCGCGGGTCGAAAGGCGATAAGGTATCCTCGGTGATATCGATATCATCGTCGTCTGTTTGTCCGTCGGGGGAGAATGCGGGGGTTGGGAGGCCAGGTGGAGAGGAAGGCGGTGGGGAGGAATCTCGCCGGCGCAAAGACGGTCTCGATCTTGATCCTCCTTTGGATGGAGCTCGAGATCTGGATCTGGAGGATGGTGCCGGGGAGGGGTGGGCCATGGAGGCCGGGGACTGTAAATCGGCCATCTCTCTTTGCGCATGTGCCGGATGAAAAGCCTCAAACCATTGGGGCTCTGCTCCTTGGGCTAGCCAGAGCACGTCACGCACTGGATCCCATCAAAAGACTACCGTAGTTCAACCATTCGACTATTAACTGTTTCGAAGCCGGTGCTGATCTGCCTCCAGAGACAGGTTTCACCTGGTGCAATCGACTGGTCGAACGCGGGATGGAGGGGGAAATTCAACGCTGGGACTTTGTGGAACTTGGTGGAACAAAGTCAGCCACAGTTACAATGCAGATGTGTGAGATGCTTGAGCCCAATGCCGAGATTTGGATATGCACGGGGAGACACCCTAACTCTACTTACAGTGACAAACAGGTCAGACCGTATTAGCTTAAGAGACAAGACAGATGTAAACCCGGGAGGTATGGCCGATCCCGGGAGGGAAAATAGATCAGTCCGAAGGATGGGCCGATCGCGATTAGAGAATCTTTTAAGATTCTCAGTAGATTTACGAAAGGCAATGATCTGAGAGTTGGGGCTTAGACTGTAGATTACCTCGGAAAAAAGACCTTACAACATTGAGAGATCAGCCTTGCGGCACACCTGCGCATATCGGAAACATGGACGCGAGGAGAGTCTTGGACTTTCAAAAAGAAAAAAAAAATAGAAAAGTCCCAGGGGCGTTCGTTAGGGGGCATATGGGGAAAGAGAAGAATCCACCCGATTAGCCAGGATTAATATACTCCACTGCAGCTGCCAGACACTAAGACATATGACCTCCAATCATTTGAGTATGTCTGTATAAAACGCTTTCGGGGTCTGTTCGCAGAGAATCATAGACCAGAGTCTATACATCCAAAGGTATTATTGTATCCCTTGTAGTAGACCTCAAAGGCCATGGAGAAGCTGATTAGCTGGGACAAAGAAACAAAGAAAGGGAAAAAGAAAAGGATTAAAATGGAGCCGTAATCTCGAGAGAGTGAGCTAGTACTCCGTATCAAAAGGAAAAGCCAACTGGAAAAGAAAACGAGTGTATTAAGATTCATATATTGGAATGCCTGGGGTAGCAGTTCGTGACAAAACTCCACTGCGCGTCTGGATGAAGAAGCTCAAGGACTTTTTGAGCTGGGAGATTACCCCCTATTTTTTATTTTCGGCGCAATTGACAATGTTGAAGGGCAAATCATAAAAAGAAGAAATGCCTTTGCAATGACCAATAGTGTCGATTCCGAAGACACTAAAATAGCGATGGTTAGCGTGTTTGAGAATATAATTAAATGGCTGAGTTGGCGGCCAGCTCGTAGCTTGTTTGGGCGACGATCGCCGTAGACAATTTCGCATGAAAGCCTGTGGTCTGGTTTCAAGAGTCCCCAGAGTGCATATGCTGCATATGTTGCATGTTGCAGGCTGCATAGTATTTGGTTGACGCGTTTTTGTGACGCTTCTGCCCAAGGAGACGGTCAAATTGCCAAATCATCCAGTGCGTGCGGACATTATCGCGGATCAGGGGTAAACCCAGACCCATCTAAGGTCTCCACCGAGAGCTTCGAACGAGGAATCCACTTCGGCCGAAATGAAGAACCAAACTTCCATTGTTATGGTGGGAAGTCCGGTACGGAGTACGGAGTACATACATCGTACGCGCTCCATGGCCTCTATGGCCTTGGTCTGGATTAGAGTCGTTTCTCTTGCATATGTCCATGCAAGTGCCGGTCGCACAGTTGGCGAACGTTGGAGGTGGCGTATGACAATCGCGAATGATTGGCAATAAATGGTTATTATAATAGCCAATGTAAGAAGTACGGAGTCATGTCTAGACTCCGCATGTCAAGCCCCCAAATTGCCATTGGAAATTGGACTAACGGGGATTGACACATTGACACGAAGGAGTATGGAATCTCCGCGAACCATTTCCACCCATTTGCCCCACTGGCCTCAGGGGACGGGGTACTTTTGACTTGGCCATTGACAGGTCGATATTTGCTGATATTCCATATCCCTGGTTTCTTTGTTTCTCTGAAAGCGCTAGTGGCGAGTCCAGCTTGGAGGCGCAGGCGATACTACACGGGCTGAAGTTGTGTGCGGAGTACGGAGTACAAAGTATGTACTTCATCTGCAGGGAAGGCCATAATCAATGGAAGATCGTCAAATTGAGAATGGACAATAGGGATGATTTGCTTGAGTTGAGAAAGTTAAGAAGGCGGAAAAATAACAGGCAGAATGTTTTCTGTGTTACGCACATTCCTTAAGACTCAACACATAAGGTACTTGAACTTATTACAATGCTTGTTTCGAGACAAGTTTCTAAGCAAAAACTAAACGGCTGTTCCCTTTCCCTTTCTAATCCAATAAGATCATCCCGCTAGAACAATCAGGCCGTTAGATCTGGAGAACCTGAATTAACCGGACTGACTAAGCACATTTGCGTCACCCCCAAAGTCCTCTAGGGCTAGAGGTTAGCATATATGAATAGACTCATCGATTTCACTCTGACCTACATATCTATCTAGCTGAGATCTCAACTTCGTGAATATCCCACCTGGAACTCGGAAACCGACATAATCTTCAAAGTGCAGGGGATAGCTGCATATCAACATCTCCAACTACACGAACTACACCAACATCAACACCAACATCAACACCAACACCAACTCCAAAATGTCGACAGATCACCCACCCCAGATGTTATTTTTCGACACATTTGGCACAGTAGTTTCATGGCGTACATGCGTCTCGGAAGAGCTGAGCGCTGCCGCCCTACATGCTGTGAACCATCCTCGCGACCTCCCAGTCGACTTGCGGGACCGCGCTGCAGCCATGACCCGGCTTGACTGGCTGGTATTTGTCGCAGAATGGCGGCGGTCGTACATTGTATTCACTAGTACATTTAATCCATCCAACGAGTTTGTGCCAGTCGATCAGCACCACTACAATGCCCTTCAGGACCTCCTGCGGCAGCGCGGTCTGGACGGCCTGTTCACTGACGAGAAGCTGTGGGAACTCTCTTTCGCGTGGCATCGGCTCAACCCGTGGCCGGATAGCGTCCAGGGTCTTGAGTTGTTGAACCGTCGGTTCGCTACTTCTACCCTGTCGAATGGGAATGTCTCTTTACTGCAGGATCTCCAGCGACATGGATCACTGCCTTTCACGCATATTGTTAGCGCGGAGAATTTCGGGGCTTACAAGCCTTCTCCGCTGGTTTATAACGGTGCTGCCAAGAAGTTTGGACTCGAGCCAGGCCAGTGCGGACTGGTTGCGGCGCATCTGCACGATTTGAAGGCTGCCAAGAGCTGTGGTTTTCAGACTATCTATGTTGATCGTGAGCTGGAGGAAGCGATGTCAAAGGAGCAGGCTGCAAAGGCCAAGTCTGAGGGTTGGGTGGATATGTGGGTTGATCTTGAGTCTGATGGCTTCCGAGAGGTGGCGAGGCGATTTGGGATTGAGTAACACCGGTCTGCCCTCCGAGGTTATTAGTCTGACCCCAGAAAGATGTATTGAGACTTGTTCTGGTGGAAAACGTGTATATTTTCAAAACTTAAATGAACACTCGAAATATAATCGGTCCATTTGGCCCGGCTTCTATCATGTCTTTTCCTTCTCCCATAGCCCCATTCCGAATCCCCCAGCATCAAGCCCAAAGGATATTTAATCTTCGCCACCCAGCAGCTGGAGATGGAATGGGTTCCGGATTTTCATTAACGATGCGAAGGAATTCCTGGATTGGAATTTCTTCCAGCGGAACAAGCAGGGTCTTTCGCCAAAATTTGTACCCAAAATATAAGACAAATATAAGCGGGATGTTGAAGTATGACGATACAAAGGTTTGAGGACTCCAGTTTCCCTCTATAAACACGTAGAATCCGCCAGTAAGCAGAATGATACTGAACGAAACCAGAGCAATCCATGCTGCGTAAGGTTGAAAGGGGCTTTTCCAAGGAAGTTCAGTACGGCTGATCTTTTGCCTCTTACAGCCATAAAAGAACCTCAAGTAAATCACCTCTATATTGATCCAATGCACCAAAGAGGCAGCGGAGACCAGTTGCTGGAGCCAATCAAACACAATGGAAGCTGCGGATGACAGTGTCATATACCCCAAGGCAAGAAAAGATCCGACTGCGGCAACTGATATCCAGGGAACCCCGAAGCGATTAATGCGAGTGAATAGTTTTGGGGCATGCCCCTCTTGAGCAAGACCATACAGTGTCCTGGTTCCAACGAGCATTGCTATTTTTGGTTTAGCAGAAGTACAGTGGCCGACAAAAAATCCCTCTCACCAGAGTTACCAGCGCTCCATGCACTTGTGACAACGACAGCATTAATGATCGAAGGTACCACTTTGATCCCAACATTGGTGGCAGCAATTGCAAATGGAGACGCTCCAGCATCCCCGGAATTTGACATCAGCCCCTTATCGTTTGAGGGGACAATAAGGCCCATCATGAAAATGGTGATCAGATAAAATATCAAGATTCTCCAGAACACACGTTTGGCAGCCTTCGGGATGTTATGGCGAGGATTCTGCGTCTCAGCTGCTGCAACCGATATGTTCTCGACGTTGGAAAATGCATAAGCTGCACTGCTCAGAACACGCCAAAACCCAAGGAACCGTCCCCATGAGCCATCGATACCAAGAAACTGCACAAAGGGTCCAGGGTCTCGCCAGAATCGAAACCCCATGGGATAGCCCCGTGGGCCTGCACCAGAGGTAATGCAGATACTCTATATGAAAAGCAGTTAGAAACCAACCCGAACATCCTTGCGCGGCGAGATCTGCTCACCAAGATATTCACACCAACAATCAGAGCAATCTTTAACAGTGCAAAAACAAACTCCAACTCGCCGTAAATACTGACCAATAGCATATTGCTAATAACCAGCAACGCACCAAGGGCGCTAATCCATACTGCATGGTTAACATCAGACCAAAAGTCAATAATGACAGCACAAGCCACCATCTCAGCCGGCAGCAGGATAGCATTTGCATAAACACTATTCCAACCTTGCGCAAACGCCAGCGCAGGGTCTACAAACCATTCTGCGTGTCGTATAATGCCACCGGAAAGAGGCGCCAGAGCACTGAGCTCCGCTACAGAAAACACCACGCAGCAGATAAGCATACCCACAATGCAATATGCGAGCAACATGCTGAGTGGTCCACCCCTTGCTAGGGATTTTCCGGTCGCTAGGAAGAGGCCCGTACCAATTGTTCCGGCCAGGGCTATCATTTGAATATGACGTTGTTTCAGCCCTCGTCTTGTTTGAACAAGCTCGGAAAATACTGCCTGTGTTTTGGCGTTGTCTTCGCCCGCGAGGGTACGTTTAAGGATAGGCCTGGCCTCATTTTGACGTGTGGTGATTTCTTCGTTTTGTTCGGGGTCTTGAGCATGACTGTTCATTGCAAATGATCAGAGGAGAGGGGCAAATGAATAGGAGAGGACAAGTGAAATGGTGAGGAGGTGGGGTCAAAATTGAGACGTTTCCCAGATACGTGCCTTGTTGGGGTGGGTTAAGAAGATCTTATATGTGCATATCCATGTCGTGACAAGAGGGACAGAATCAGAAAGAGAATGTCTCTTATTGGTTCTCGAGTGCATAATCTCCTATCAGACTTCAGGACATGACTGCACCCCCCGGCCCGGTTGATATTGCGAACGCTAAAAATGGAATATCAAGCATATCACCTTTTCTTCGATATAATCTTCTATTTTATTTCTTGTCCTAGATCTCAAACCGCTTCGGCTTTTCGGCGAAACCTCAACAGTTTTGGCCTACTAGAAAGCCCTTAGCACCGTTCTCAAATCAATACTTTAATTACAACATTGCCATTTAGAGTTATTTCTTGCATAATGCCAAACAGAAAGAGCATAATAGGCAAAGTATGAGTATTCTGGTGAAGTGTGGCGAGCTTGGTCTAGAAGTAAAGCTCAATCTCTGATGGTATATAATAAGATGTTCCCCAAGTAGTAGAGTCGCTAAAGTAAACATCGACCTGTGACGGATGGAATTGTTACACGAATAACATTGGAATTATTTACTGTATTGCGCTGAATATGATAGTTCTGAGGCAAGACTGATTAAAGCGTTGAATAGAGCAGCGTGGCCCTGCTGTTAAAGTGTCGAGGAGAGTCGACAGGCCCTCTAGAGCTGGACAATTCTTTTGTTCGTCTTTAGAGCAATAAAACATTTAAAGGCACTCTCGTGACAGCTTCGATGTTATGAAGTCTGAGCTTGATATTGTTTATGGTCACCTGTCTGAAAACAACGTCAAATTTTGCTCTTGCCTCGCGACTGCCATGGGTTGTTTGAACTGTCTGATCTCAGGCAGTCGTTTGCCAGATCCTCAACCAAGTGCGATACCATCAGATATTTTTCTAAGTCATGGTCACTCTCGTTTGCTTGCACTGACCTTTCACACCAACCATTCCTGCATCGTTAAATCATCAAGTCTCCACTGCGAGACCCCCAGGCACGTATATCATCCCATCTACGCGATTGATTCGATTGGTACTGGGAGGTAGAGCTTAATGTCGCACCTCAAAACACTGAAGTTCCCCCGGAGCGCATCAAAGCCGAGTTGCTAACGAGAGGTCTTGCTTCAAGCAGGATGGCGTCCAAGCCTCAGGACCCGTCCCCTACGAATCCTTGGATCACTAGCGATGGCAGCCCACTCCGCGGATTCTACTGGACGAGAAACGACCCAAAAGTGCAACCTAACTACTGGGTGTAAGCATCTTTTCCATAAGCCCCTCGATTGATACCTACTCACGGATAAATTCTGGAGCCAACGCAAAAAAGTGTGTGAATGCCGACAGCACTTCTCAACCCAGTGGCCGGTTGACCATGTGATTATCGTGAGTATTCCAATTACCCCAATATATTTTCAAGACATGACTAACTCTTGTCGGTCTTCCAAAGCAAATCCCCGCATGCGCCTTCAGGTGCCCATATTGCACGGCTCTCGATAACGTGGAGAAAGAGGGGCGACCTTGCCCGGCACGGGTAAAGAGACATATTTCGGCAGCGCATATCGTGAGTACACCAGTATTCCTAACCAAGCTTGGAGCATCCGAATGACGCTCATATCATTCAGAGAAGACAAGGGGACTTCTATGTGGGACTGCAGGTTTCCTGTAAGTGCCCCAAAAATCTGAAAAAATCTACGCATACTGACCTTTGCTGTCTTTATTTTCAGCTTCCTCCTGATTCGATGCCGTCTCGTCTCGCAGTGAAGAGGAAGCCCCGTCCACGACCCCACGGCTGCAGTGTATACAAGAATGGTTCATCATAGCTATCTTGCGAGCCAACCCAAAGGAACCATATGAAGAATGAAAAATTGAACTTTCAATCAATCCCAGAGCCTAGATCTCGATGGTAGGACTTGTTTTTATTAACATGATACTGGAATCCATGAGGGCAATAAGTGCAATGGGAAGATAGGGGGGTATGATGAGACACATCCCCTTGCTCAGATACTGATGTCGGGAATTGTTAATGGGATACCAATAATACACGCTAATAATGTATATATAAGCCCTAACTCCCACCTTACCGGTCTTCGCAAAACCGGTACCGGAATAAATCCGTTCCATGGTTGCAGCTCCTTATCTGATGTTTCTTATCTGATCTGACGCACATTGTTAAACCAATCTGCACCTGGATATTAGTATTGTACCACCTGCAGCACCCAACCTCTCATAATGCAACTCAAGCTCCTCACCTCACTGGCCCAGGGACAGCCCGGTGTGCTACACCACTGCGTACACCGCCCACCCCTGCAGCCAAGCCGTTCACACTGCTAACGCCACCTCAGACCGACACCCTCGTCGCCTTCGAATACACCCGCAGCCATGTTCCCAAGCCACACACACTCGTATTTGTCGGGGGGCTAGGCGACAGCCTGGGCTCAGTCGACTATTTGAGCGATGTCGTCCGCGCCCTAGACCCATCCCAATGGAGTGTATTCTCGCTGATCCTCTCCTGCGCCGGCGGCGGGTGGGGCATGGGGCGACTGGGCAAAGACATCGACGAGCTATCACAGTGCGTCTCGTACATCCGCAAATACAAAGAGCCACAATTTGGCGCCGGAAAGGTGGTTATCATGGGCCATTCGACGGGCAGCCAGGACGTGATGCACTATATCAACTGTCCCAACCCACGGCCAGCACACCCTGTCTTCGACCGCAACTGGAAGCCTATTGTGCGGGTGCCTGTTGACGGGGCGATTATGCAAGCGCCTGTTTCTGACCGCGAGGGCATCTTGTGGGTTGTGAAGTGCGGCACTGCGCGTGATAGCCCGGCCAAGATGCGCGCGATATACAACAAGGCTGTTGCTGATGCGCGACGGGCGGTGTATGAGGATCATGATCTTGTTGATACGGTTGTGCCGTTGTCTGTGACGTCGCGGATTGGGTATCCGCCCTCTGCGCCGGTTAGCAGTCGGCGGTTCTTGAGTCTGGTTAGCCCGGATAGTCCAGAGGATCCGTCTGAGGATGATTTGTTTAGTTCCGATTTGAGCGATGAGCAGTTCCGTGGGACGTTTGGGATGATTCGGGAGAGGGGTTTGCTGAAACAGAAAATGTTGGTGCTGTACTCTGGGAGGGATCAGTCGGTACCGCCGTGGGTTAATAAGGAGGCTCTCTTGAAGAGGTGGCAGATTGCTGCTGATGGGAGTGGGCGGCAGATCTGGGATTCAAGGAGTATGGTTATTCCCAATGCATCGCATGCACTGAGTGATAGCGATCAAGCGGAGCCGCGGCGGATTTTGGTGGAGAGGGTGACGGCTTATTTGAATGATATTGAGCGAGGGTCATTTCTGCTGGAACAGTGAGATTGTATGTTGTTTGGGGGTTGTGTTTAAAAATGGGACATTTTGATGCTTAACGTAGGACAAACTGAACAATATATGTGGTCTGGAATGTTAACCTTGGAAGTGTTTCAGTTCTTTGTTGCGGCGTCATTCCAACGCCGACAGCGTCTCTCAACATGCAACTTTTCCTCGAGTGTTCGATGAGCATAAAAAGATACGACTGCCCGCCATATCCTGCCATTTATTTAAAGAATCATACAGGTAGAGCTTTGGATATCACATTCTGAAAAATGGTTCTATACTAGATTACATGACACTACGAAGTACCCGAAGCCCACTGCACTCACTAGCAACATCCATATATTGACCAGGATTAATATTGACTTCAAGTTTAAGCCTGACTATGATCTCAAACCTAAGGAAGATAGTCCTATTACACTAATTACACGAGCCATGTCACAGATATATTGATTTTCCTGAAACCCGTTCTGCATCATCACGACTTACAAACGTACCAAGTATGTCCACTTTTATGGATACTATTTAAGACTATGCCATATCAATATTCATTCCTCCGTAGATCACATAAACTGGATGATAGTTTCTATTACACAGACTGAACGTAATTGAAATGCTGTTATGCTTATTTCAAATACTGCGGAGTACTACCGAGGCACAAGTGCAGCTGATGAGTCTAAAGACTAAAAGGGCAATAAAGTTGCAATAATGCTAGATAGACCATGCGTATAGCTTAAGTCTTTTGGCCACATGGCTTCCTCCCCTTTCTCCACAAATAATCATACTACCTATCTATTATTGAGCTTTGACACGCTCACATGACGTTGAACTAGTCCCACCAGCATCGTTGATCCAATCAATAGCGTAACGGGATGATCACATTATTGATTCCAACACGCTTTAGAGGCATACCATCGGGGATCTTTCGGGGGCTTGGCGCATTGAGATCGACATCTACTTTGTTTGCAATACATTGTACAATATACGCATGTGATCCGGTTTTGTGAGATACCCGAGGAACGACGACATCGTTGGGCAGTATCCAAGCCACGGATCAATAATGAAGATCCCCCAAGTCAATCAAGGGATAAGGGATAATTTTGAAATGTCACATCCAGTGTGTTTCCAACAGTTTGTTAGTTTCCCAAGGGCCAATCTGCTGGGAACCGCCCTGCCGATCGCCGGCAGCCCCGACGCACGATGGATGCACACATCCACAAACAGATGACAGATGAATCACGGATTCACGGGACTTGACAAGAACCGTTGCATCATGCACGTCAGTATAAGGCAGGTGCATAACGAATCCCGTCACCGGTACTCCGTACTCCTTAGCCGATATGGACAGGACTCGAGATTAGAATCCTAGACCAGAGCGAGACCATAGCGGACCGTTGAACGGCACGAATTCAGCGTTCCCCATATAACGGCCAGGCGGGAGGAGCCGTTAACCAACCAACCCCTGCCCGTTCAATCAAATCCACGGCCACTATTGGTACAGGAAGAGCTCACCCTAACGGAGTACATAGCATACTGAGCCGTTGGGCCGGGCCTTTCCGTATGAACAGGGGGATGAAACAATTGTCGGACGTGCCCCCAGCAACTTTGAGGCTTTAAATATTTGCTATGGAGTTGAACATGCTGATACACAAAAGGGGAAGCCAACAAAGATGCTTAAATACACATCACTACAATTTGGGGATCTCTTAAAAATTGACCGGAAGAAGCCGAGTCTGGATGTATGCCGATCCAAAAAAAAAAGAGCAACCTTGGGAGAGAAAGAGAAATAAATGGTTCCGTCGGGGCCCGACCTATTGCATTCAACAAAAAAAAGTGGACGGCAACAGTTCAAGGTTTCCCCGATATAATCCCCCCCCCCTTGGCCCGCGGCCACAGAACTGGGACGGGAGACGGAGCTATCCCGGACCCTATGAGTTGATGCCCAACCAGTTGCCTACTAGGGAAATAGAGCGGCGGGTATGTTCTGCTATGAAAAAGTAGAGGGAGAAAAGAAAAAAAATAAATAAAAATAACCCAAACAAAGCAAAAGAAAAAAAAAAAAAGAGCTCATAAGGAGCATAGGAGGAGTACATACCCACCTTCCGAACTTCCTCCCGTTGTCTTGTCCACCTTTGCAGCTAGCAAGCAAGCTCTAGGACGATCTATGTATCAATGGGAACATTATTTTACGCGCCGTTCTGCGGGTGGACATTGCACTGGCATGAAGGCTCTGACATTTACCAATGATTATAGGCTATTTGAACCTATTGCCTAGTAAGTATTAGGTATGCCGGATGCGCAGAAGCGGGCAGGCTGGGGACAGAGAGACTCGGGTCCGGGAAAATGCAAGTGGCAGGGGAATACGGAGTAGAATGGGCAGGGATAGAATAGATAGGGGTATAACACGGAAGGACAATAACGAGAACCAATCTAAGGTGGCCAAGACTCGATCCTAAACCAGTTCGAGGTTGGCGTTGAACCTTTGTTGGATGTTCCGGAATCCAAAATCTAGGGTATGATTAGGACCCATTGTGACATTCGTTTGACTTACGCTATTCGGGTAGCGTCTCCCAGGGCCATGGAGGGAGACCTACCTTTTACTGCTCCAGGGCTATTCCTAAGTAGGATTGTAAGGGGAGTACGGAGTACGGATACGTTGATAGTAACTCCGAGTTTCAAAAACCACAAGGCTTGGAGATGGGGGCATTGTGTGCCACCATCGACACTAATTTAATTAATGGTGCAATTCCAATTGCAGGATGAACTTTAGATATGTAAATGAACATCCCATCTCTGAACAATACATAATACATATTGATAGTACTCTAGAGGCTGATAGGGCAAGCGTGAAACCATAGATCGTGTTTTCCACGTGCAGACTGGGGTATAGACTGCCTTAATTTGAGAATATTATAAGGAACAGGTTCTCGGCTAACCAAATTTTTAACTAAGGAAAAAAAAAATTAGAAAAAAATAAGAGAAAAAAAACAAGAAGCTCCCAGCTTCCTCTCCCGGCAAGGAAATGAGCTTCAGCCAAGTACATCCGGGATTATCCACTGTGCCCTGTGCGCTTCTCCTTTTCACTGTGGACCTTCGGGACCTGGACTTTTCACTCTTTTCGCTATTTTCTTCTTTCTTTGGCTTTTTTGGGGTTTTTTTTGGGCGTCTTATTTGGTTTTCACTGATCCGGTGTAGGTTCAGTGGAATGGACTTTTCATTCTACAGATCTTCGGATGTACGTATATGGCTTCCAGCATATTAAGATAATGAAAGGGTAGATATAAGATGCATATCAAATAGAAATTAGTATCAGCACAGCCCTAGAGAGACTACAATGTGGATATTCGGAAAATGTAAAAGAAAATGTATGACTTCATGGAACTGTCACTTAGGAAAGGCGTCTTTTGGCTTTTCTCCCTAATTATAAGATTCCTACCAGTCAGAATGGATTTTCCTGTCTCTTTTTTTGCTCTTCAATAGGTTTAGCTTTGATTTTTTTTTTCTTTCTTTTTTTTCACATCCGAAACGGTCTCGGAGTTGGTAAGTGTAGAGAAAGTAAAGAGTAGAGAGGAATAGAGAACAGGGATGAAGATCTCGGGAAAGGTACGAAATTCCTGTGTTCTCTTTGATAATTTATCTAATTTATATTCTATTCTAATCTATCCTATATTGTATTCTATTCTATATCCTTATTATCCCTAAGGATATTCCTATATTACCTACCTAGGTGTCTTCCCTTCCTTATATTCCCTTGAACCCCTCTCTCCACTTCGTTCCAGCCCCCGGACCAGACTTCGCACACTGGTTCTTCCCCTCTCTGTTTCTGTCTCTTTTCTCCTAATTCTCTTTTCTCTTCCCTTCTCTCTTCCCATATCTCCCCTTTGCGTCATTCCTCCGGCAACAATTGGGGGTTGCTGTGAATCGCGTGGAAGCTCCCGCTTTTCTTTTTCGCCCCCCGCCTAGAACGTGGGCCACTTCACCTTTCCCCCCCCTCCTTGCGACTTCGAACCTTCCCCCTCTTTCCCCTGAAATAATTATAGGTATGTCCTTTACAAGCTGCATTGCTATGAAGATACTGACTTCTCTAGGTTGATTGTCTTTGTTTCTTTATCTGTTCTCAATTCCAGTTGCCCGCCATGGCTGGAAAAATGACGTTGTACAAGCTGGTGGTGTTGGGAGACGGAGGTGTTGGAAAGACCGCCCTTACCATTCAGGTTGGTCGAGCTCTTGACACCTAGACAAGAACCCCCACTGAAACTGTGCTTCTAGTTGTGTCTTAATCACTTTGTCGAAACATACGATCCAACCATCGAGGATTCATATCGCAAACAAGTCGTGATCGATCAACAATCGTGTATGCTCGAGGTGCTGGACACAGCGGGCCAGGAAGAATATACCGCGCTACGAGACCAGTGGATCCGGGATGGCGAGGGCTTTGTATTGGTGTACAGCATTACCTCACGCGCCTCCTTCTCCCGCATCACAAAATTCTACAACCAAATCAAGATGGTCAAGGAATCGTCAAGCTCCGGTTCCCCCTCCGGTCCCAGCTATTTGAACTCGCCCATGAACGCCTCATCGGGTCCTGGAATGCCCGTCCCCGTCATGCTAGTCGGCAATAAAAGCGACAAGGCAGTCGAGCGCGCAGTCTCAGCACAGGAAGGCCAAGCATTGGCCAAGGAGCTGGGATGTGAGTTTGTCGAGGCATCCGCGAAGAACTGTATCAACGTGGAGAAGGCTTTCTACGACGTTGTCCGCATGCTGCGTCAGCAGCGACAACAGGCGGCAGGTGGCCGCGCAGACCGTCGCCCGCCGGGCTTTGGATCAGGCCACCGTGATCGCGACGCAGGCCCCGAATATCCCAAGTCCTTCCGGCCCGACCGGTCGCGACATCGCAGTCGGCTCCAGTGTACTCTCTTGTGATCGGCCGGGTCCGTCCGGGAGGCGTTGGATTTCTTGCTCACTGAAATAATGGCTGTTTCCCTTTTCTCTCTTCCTCTCTTCCTTTTGGTCCCGGGTGCATCTGAAGGGTGGTTCTATCTTTTGGTTACCTCGTTCGGCGTCGGTGGTCCTTGCCATGCTACATCTTTTACGCTCGCATTCTGAAGAGCTTGAGAACTGGCTTGGGGATTGAGGCCAGTGTCTGCAAGCCTTGAGCGCAACCTTTTGTTTTGTTTTGGCTTTTGTTTTGCTCTTTGGAAATGCACCAGGCATGCAGACTGGCTGTCTAAATTTCCACAAGCTCCCCTTCCTCTTTTTCCTTGACGATCGTCTCTCTTCTTCGGTCTCTGCTTATTTGATAAGTTGCGATCGGGAGGAATCTTTCGGGACACGACTCGGAGCACCCCCGAAAGAAACCAAAAAAAAAATTCCCAGGCGACGAAGCCAGAAGATCGCAGTCGCGCATTAGCAGGCATTTCGATATGATACCCTACGACTGAGCTTGTTTTATTTGATTCATTTTTCAGCCATTTATGCGATATAGACAATAAAGGTCAAATTTTTTTTTTCACTTGGTTGTAATACTTGGAAAATCCGAGGCAAAAGTAGCAGGGTACAAGTGCAGTACCCTATTCCAGGCCGTATTTAATACTGCGCGTGAGGTACACGCTGGGTACAATCTGGGTATAATCTGGGTACAGGCTGGGCGCCAAAGAAAGTGCGGGGGAAAAGCACGGACTCGCCTCGGCTGCATCCGGGGGATCTCAGCTTCACCTGGGCACCTCTCCCCTTCTCCCCCGCAATAATGGATACAAAATACGAACGCCTAAAATGTCTTGTCGATCAGAGACCTGCAGGTATTGACTTCCATCTTCCCGTGCCAATCGCACTATTGGATCCGAAAGACCTCGGGTAGAAGCGCTCGGTTTCAGAGCCCCAGAGTACTTTTGAGCGAATTCACTATTTCTTGTCTTGTGTACCCTGTTTCTCTCTTAGCTTCTCAGTCTATCAAATCACAATCCTAGCAATTACTTCGCCACTTCCCCCTACCATATCCATCCGAGTCTGAATCCAAATTCTATCCAACATGTCTCCGCACCCCCAACCGACAACCCACTCACAATCCCTTGGCGACCCCGAGACCTTTTGGTCCCATCACGCGACCAGACTCCACTGGCACCGCAAGCCTTCACGTGCCCTAACACGGCAGACAAAGTCTCTACCAAGCGGAACCGAGCACGATCACTGGTCGTGGTTCGCCGACGGCGAGATCTCCACAACCTACAATTGTGTCGACCGACATGTGCTCGCAGGCCACGGTGACAATGTTGCGATTGTATGGGAATCACCAGTTACCGGTGTAACGGAGAAGTATACATATGCCCGTCTACTCGATGAGGTTGAGGTTCTTGCCGGTGTGCTTAGGGAGGAAGGGGTGCAGAAGGGCGATGTTGTTATTATTTACAGTATGCAAACCAACAACGTCGTGATCACACCACAAGTGGGGAATTCATTAAAAACAGGACCCCCAAACTGACCACGTATCGCATCTAGTGCCAATGATCCCCGCAGCTCTAATAGCTGCGTTGGCAATAACCCGCTTAGGCGCAATCCACGCTGCCGTCTTCGGCGGCTTCGCCCCGAAAGCACTAGCACAGCGAATCGAGGCCGCGCGCCCGAGAGCTATAATGACAGCGTCATGTGGAATAGAGGGTTCCAAGGGGCCCATTTCCTACCGGCCACTCGTTGAGGGTGCCGTCAAGGCAAGCAGCTTCAAGCCGAGCAGGGTCATTGTCTGGCAACGTGACCAACTGCGCTGGAATCAGCCCGATAAGCGCGGTGGACAGCGTAATTGGCAAAGACTCGTTAAGAGTGCACGGTTCCGCGGGGTTAAGGCTGGGCCTGTTCCTATCAAGAGCACGGATGCGCTTTATATTATTTATACAAGTGGTGAGTAAATCTCAGAACCGAATCCGGTCCTGTTTTGTTCATACTCACGTGTTTCCACAGGAACAACCGGCCTCCCCAAAGGCGTCCTCCGCGAAGCAGGCGGGCATGCCGTGGGTCTGGAACTCTCCATAAAATCCCTCTTCGGGATAAAAGGTCCCGGGGACACAATGTTCTGCGCATCAGACATAGGCTGGGTCGTCGGACACTCGTATATCCTCTATGCGCCGCTGCTAGTCGGCGCCACAACCGTCCTATTTGAAGGTAAGCCTGTCGGCACGCCGGACGCAGGGACATTCTGGCGTATCGTCGAGAAACACAATGTGAACGCGCTCTTCACGGCGCCAACTGCCATGCGAGCTATCCGGAAAGATGACCCGGACAACCAGCTTATCGGCGAGGTCGGGAAGCGCGGAGGATTGAAATCTCTCCGTGCGCTTTTCCTCGCCGGTGAGCGTAGCGAGCCGGGCATTGTTCGTTCATACCAAGATCTGCTTGGTAAGTATGCAGCGGACGGTGCGCTTGTTATCGATAACTGGTGGTCATCCGAATCCGGATCCCCGATTACGGGTGTTGCGTTGAATGGGAGTGCTGCCCTTGTTAGTCTGGCATCTGGGCCAGATCATGCTCCCCCTCACGCCCCGTCCCGGCTCCGCAGGATTCCCAATGCCTGGGTTTGACGTCCGCATTGTCAATGACGAAGGCAGTGAAGTCCCACGCGGCACAATGGGCAATATCGTTTTGGCGCCACCGCTCGCCCCGTCGGCATTCACGACTCTCTTTGAGGACGAGGAGCGGTTTTACCGAGGGTATCTTAAGCGGTTTAATGGCCGCTGGGTTGATACCGGTGATGCGGGGATGGTTGATAAGGATGGCTACGTGCATATTATGTCGCGAAGTGACGATATCATCAATGTTGCCGCGCATCGGTTCAGTACTGGTAAGGAGTTTGATGTTCTTCGCTTCCCAGCGCCATGATCTGCCGATACATGATCTGATTTATTCCTACAGGATCCATTGAACAAGCAATCCTCTCGCACCCATCGATCAGTGAAGCAAGTGTCGTCGGCATCCCCGACTCGCTGAAAGGCCACCTTCCCTTCGCATTCATCCAGCCCAAAGCCGGCGCGATTCCCGGGGAAACCGGGCGTCTTCCGGCAACACCGAGCCCGCAGTTATTTGCCGAGATCAACGCGCTGGTCCGCGAGCAGATCGGGGCTATTGCGTCACTAGGTGGGATTATACAGGGTCGGGGGATGATTCCCAAGACGCGGAGTGGAAAGACGCTTAGGCGTGTTCTGAGGGAGCTTCTTGAGGTTGGGGTGAAGGGGGAGTATGCGGCGGAGGTTAGTGTGCCGCCTACCGTTGAGGATGCGGAGGTTGTTTCTGTTGCGAGGGAGAGGGTTAGGGAGTATTTTGAGGAGAAGAAGGCGAATGGGGTTGGGAAGGCAAAGCTTTAAAACGATAGATGCTTGGATGTTATCATGGCTGTATATACGTTGGAGTGGTAGACTAACGCTGAAAAGCATATGGATTGATTGAATGTTTCGGTTGAAGATGGGACTTTAAGGGGTTCTTCGTGAAGAAGCTATCAGGCTTCAGCATCACGCTTATCTCATCATAAAGTCTTCCAGTTAAGGGATACAAGAATAGTCGGCCGTTGAAAACGACATGATACAGTTGGCTCGATGGGTAGGTTTTTTTTTACGTCTTTTTGGTTGTTCTTTTGGATGTCTTTTCAGATGGTTTTCTTTGGAGAACTTAGTGTCAAAGCTCGCATTTTATGACCCAGAACGGCTATCTTGTACAAGTCCGATCAATGTTCTACAAAATGGGCCTCTTGGAAGCTCTTTCACTACTTCTGCTGGCTCGTTCACACGAAAAACGCATAGAGTCATGTGGAGAGCGTGGAAGCAACGAAGAGAACCGCCGTGCAGGATGCACACCTGCCGCCATGGGTAGTAACCCTAACAGAAGTTGTGAAATCAGCGCTCAGCTTCCATCAGACACATGAAGTCACCGTACATTTGCACCGTAGCAAATGGTTCCCGCGACTGGATGACCTTAAGTCAACTCTCACAGAGGTAGAGGAGAAGGCAATTCGAAGACTGTTTCTTTCGCGTAAAGAGGGGCAACGAGACAGATTTTCTTCTGTCGAACAATGACATGACGGAAGTTGCAGAAGGTGTCTGAAGTTGGCTTCCCGAGTGAGCTGTTTCGACCATACAATGCCAGTCTGCCACCTGCAGCCGTCTCAGTTGCTATTAAATAGCTAACCAGAGCTTACGAATCCTTTCACGAAGGGCTAGAGTGAGTTCTAAGCGAGTAAGCATCTAAAGAAGAAATATATGAGGGACCAATGCCAAAAGGTATTGAAGTCTTGCTGGCGGAAGCGGAAGTTGGATCACAAGATCCACAACAGTCGGATGAAGCTATTGTCTCTAAGATCCTGAATGTTGTGTCTAGAAAGGTGTACGTAGGCTAGGCCGCTAAGCATCACTTTCTTTATATAGGGCGAGGGATCAGGTGACCAAGTATTTAGTGGCTGCATCCTCTATAGGGCATCATTTCTGGCCACCTGTTGCTTCATGAAGCTAGTGAAGAATCGTGACATCTGCTCGTAGTCATCGAGCTCTCCGACCCAGCTAACATACTGATCAGGGCGAATGATGACACTAGCACCGCGGTTCGGATCAATTCCATAATTTGAGTAAGCTTGGCCATGCCCCTCATGGTAAGACTCATCATCGACGAAGACCTTCCAATAATCCCATCCCATATCACCGTGATGGGGATGGAACGCCTCCGGAAGATCTAGAAGTTCGATGTCTGTTCGTGATCCGGAATGAACCGTTAACACCTCGATCACGCTATCAATAGACCTGTCTGGTGGTGTGAACTGGCGAATGAAAGAGTCTGGCCCTCCCAAAGAGCCGCCTAGTCTTTCGAAGCGTTGCATATTTTGGGGCTCACTGAGTCGTCCAGCAAAAACTATCACTCGCCAGCGGCCGTTGCTCTTCAATAGTTCCTGCAGATGCCATGGTCGTGCATCGGCATGATTCAAAACTTTGAAACTAGGTATGCGTTTGCCGATATCTATCTTCGTAGCTAGTTCTGGCTTGCTGGTGATCGTGTTATTGCCTAGTTCTGGGACATCCGTTTTCTTCGCAACGAGAATACTGGCATCATAGTTGACAGCTACGAAAAAATGAAGTTTAGTACTAGAGACCCACCTAGTATTGGAAGAAACTCACCTATGCCGCTTGCAAACTCGTTTCCTTTTTCAAATACCCTTTTGAATTCTTCCATACTGACTCCCTCTTCATCCATGATATCCTTAGCTGGGCGTCCAGAGAAAAGTCGCGAAAAGCGGTGATCGAAAGCGATCAGCTCCTGCGCAATCTGCTTTCTCTCAGACTCGTAGGTTTGAAGAATCGACGGTTTGCTGAGACCGTTTATCACATGGGCGAGCTTCCATCCTAGGTTATACGCTATTCGATATGTGAGTATTAAGACCAAGCACCTCAGGATTCAAGAACTTACTATCCTGCATACTAACATTCATGCCCTGTCCAGCCTTGGGAGAATGCGTATGAACAGCATCACCTGCCAGGAAGACACGATCGCTTTGCGAAAATTTGTCACTCACTCGCTGTCCAATCTGATACGCAGTCCACCAGTCGCAATACGCGTAATCGAGCTTATATGGATGAACGATGCGCTGGGCAGATTTCAGGATGATCTCGGGAGTGATCCAGGAGCGGTCAGTTTTGGAGCCATGCTTCTGGTAATCCGTCGCTTGGAGCTGGATGTAGAGTCGAACGAGTTTATTCTCGCGGGGAATCACCATTAAGCTACCCGCATTCGCGGAGTGAATGGCGCATCGATGGCGGATATCTGGGAAATTCGTGATGGGGACAACGTCGAGCACACCCCAGATATAATCGGTTGAGCCACCTTCCATGTTAAAGCCGACCTGACGGCGCACCCATGAGTGGGCGCCGTCGCAACCGACTAGGAACTTAGCCTTGACATGCTCCACTTGGTTGGGATTTTGATTTCCTTTGGCCTCTGTTGCCTGGATGAGGTCCTCGGTGTCATCAGCAACCAAGTTACTTCGGAACAGTCCATCCCCGACCACTGTTTGCTGACCATCAGAAGATTTCTGATGCTGTTGCCGTTGTTGAGGGGTGGATTCTTCCTCGGTCAAGGTACGAAGTTTAACACTGACAGGGTAGTCCTCGAAATCGCCTGCTTTGGCTTCGTCAAACTCGAAAGATGTGGGCAACACACTGCGCTCTACACGGATGTCACTATGTTCCTTGATTGCATCGAGGAAGAATCGCTCGATGCGACCCTGGTGCAGCACGACCTGTTGGAAACGACTAATTCCAGGAATGGTGTCTGGAATGCGGTCACTTCGTTGAAGATGGCCATTCTCGTCAGGATTCCAAAGACAGATCTCCAACATATGGTTTGCCTCGCGCCATGCCCGGTGGGCAAAATCAAAAGAGTCGAAGATTTCCAGAGTGCGACATTGCAGACCGTCTGCCTGACCGTTGAAGACCTGTACTGGAGTCAGTATGTGACGCGGTAGTGCTCATATCTGTACGAGAGTGTACCTTTGAGCCACGCTTGTCCACTATACGGGTCTTGACTCCACAGCGACTTAGCCAGTTGGCCAGCATGAGGCCTGCTGGCCCGGCACCAACAATGAGGACATCCACATGGTCTTCTTTGGTCGGTAGTGTATCGACCATGATGAGCTTGGAATTTCAGATGAGAAATGCCAATTTGATATCTTTTCCTTCTAATTATGAACCGGGCGGGGCCTTTATAAATTAAGGACCTTGTCGGAGAATGTGGGGGGAGGCGCCAGGGCTCCTCCAGTTTACCCCGCGACAACCCCACAGCCCTAGGAGGCGATCTGCAGAGATACTTCGCTTGATAGGTCGGGTTCTATTTCGGAAAGACCTTCAAGTTCCCATGGTTTCGGATGCGGTGAAGAAGATATCAAAAATGACCAATTGCCCATGCCAAGCGCACCCCCCCTTGCGGTATGTACTTCAATCACCAAGCACCAGTGTGTATTACGCAAGGGGTGTGCGCTTGGCACGGCAGAAACGAAAGAGAGGGAAGAGAGCTGTATTCAGGAGATGACCTCCCAAGAACTAAGCTATCTAACTCTGAGTCACTAGCCTAACCACCCAATACCAACCCATCTTGACACACATCAGCACCTAGGCGTCGACAGAAACAATGCAGAAGATCGATATCAAATTATCGAACAGTGGCACTCTGAAACCCATTGACCGCCTTGGCGTTGATGTTGGTCGTTGATCAAGCGTTCAATGCCCTGATAAACTCGACATAACGATGCGTAAGCCGCCGTGGATTCATCCTCCATGGTTGACACTCATTTGCCACGGATCACAGATCATAAACCTCTTTCAAACGATGTTTAAAATCCTCAGATGTCATCCACTCTCCCTCGAAGAATCGTGCCCACATACGTTATAATAATACCCTAGGGTCAACTCCAAGTTTGCAGCGGCCACAAACTTCTGTTCCAGACGCGCCATGGTGACGGCACCTGGGCAGCTTCATAGGCTTAGATAAACAACGAAACCTGGCCGGTGCGGCACGCTGTCCTGTCGAACCCCATGTTGATGGTAAGCTGCAACGATGGGGCCTCTCCAACAAGAATTTCGCGAGCTGGACCTTTTCTATCTTTTGTTGAAGCTCCATTATCTCCTCGTGCATGTTTTGACTGTTATATATCTCCATAGCGAAGGCAATGCATCGGTTACACCTATTATAATGTTCATATCCTTGTTGAATTGCCATGGCCGCACTTTTGGTATCATGTAAGTCCCCATAGCATATTGCTGGGTGGTGGTAGATCTCGTGGAGACCGTTGCGGGCTTCGGGGGATAGCGGTTAGCTCTCTCGTCTGCAGCTCTTCCATGATGATTTTGTCCAACTCGATTGCTAGGTCAAACTGCTGTTTGAGCCTGTAGGCTTCAGAGATATGGCACCGATCCAACCAGGAGCTTGGTAAAGTCTTTTGAAAATAATCAATGGCATGATCAGAAAGAGAGCATTGGATGAGGGTCACGCCATGCGCTCTGTACCAAACGGGTCTTTTCGTGCTGGCCCCATTCTGCGGCTTCCAGTACTTTTTCTAAGGAGTCCACCTTAGAAGCCGGCTGGTTCTCTCGAAGTCTGAGGAAGCTAAAAATTCTTGTGTAACAGCGACTGCCCCTATCTAATTGCCCTGAAGCCAGCGTGTGGCAGTTCCGACCACCGCTCTTCCTAAGTAATATATTGACAAGTGGAACGCACTTGGGAACAGAAGATGGGTCGATTACTTGTTTTTCTTGAAGCGTGATTTCATTATTTCCGGGTGAATCAGAATAGTATTGGTATTTCGTGCAAAAACAGGAGAAATCATGTACTGGGTTGCGAAACCTCCAATTGGGACTCCATGGACACCAGATTCAACATTTTTTTGGCATGAGTCAGGCCCACACAGTTCACCTGGGCATGATCGTCAATGAGCGATAGAAAAACGGAACTCATGTAGATGTGAATAGACCGGGAATCCCCCACTTCAAGCCACCCCAAATTGCGCTAAAATCATATTCCCGTGGATTCAGATAGATGGTGTTGGGGGGCCTAGCAGTGTAGATAGCTTCTTTCGATCTCATATGCTTCTGATATTCTTTCAGGCCATCGGCAAGATAGTTCTAGCCCGCAAGATATTTCCGATTCGTTCCACTTCGGCAGCCAGCTTTGGATTGTCTTCAGCAGCATATTTTAGATTCGTCGAAAACTCTTCCCTACTAACACAAGGAGTGTTATAGGACACTTTAATTCCGTGTGAACGTAGATCAGCCCCTATAGAATCCATTCGGTCCCACGGATACACCTCATCGCTCGTGCCGCAGCAGTCGTCTCCGGGGGTAAATGTAATTTCAATCCTCTGAAGTGGACATCCACGTTTAATTGCCTTGCGTGCGAGTAGTCGTAGCCAATCTTCTTCTGCTTGGGCGAAGTCGGACAACTTCTCAGAGCATTGCTGATCCAGGAGAGTCATATCCCAGTGGAAGACACGAAGGCGAGGGGCAAGAAGACTGTCAGGGGGCTCGCAAGTTTTGTCCCTGTGGAAGTGTTGGTGGCCTGAAAACTCGGACGAGAGGCTAAGTTTCTCTAGGTTTTCAAACTCGCGCAAGTTGAACCCATCAAACCCGGCCCTGTTAAGGCCGTATAATTTGATCGTGCGAAGAGTTTTTCGGTGAATGTAAAGAATTGGTTGCAACGTTGCCAAGCTCCAATCACTATATAACCCTGAGGTAGCGAAGTCATCCCCAGAGGAATATCTCAGCTCAAATTCTTCTAGACGTTTAGGCCAACGGACGAGTGCTTCGAGGGATTTCGGGGTTAGGAGAAAACTGCGTAGCTGAAGTTTCGTGAATGGGGCCGCTCCTGCTTTTTCCTATAAAATATTCTGTTAGCATATCGGCTGAAGTTTGATAGAATTGAGGTACGCGAAATGTATACACATACCCTAAGTTCTGCCTGGCACATCTGGTCTCCGTAAAAAGAAACGCCTCTCAGTCTTAGGGTTTGCAGATTGGGGAGACATCCAGACTCAAAATCACCCAATGCGTCTATCACAAATGGTAGGTGGAGGTTATAGAGGTAGTTGGCGTCGAGTAACAGAGCCTTACAACCAGACATGTGTTTGGTAGCTAATTGGAGGAGCTCCCATGCCTTCTTGCCTTCCAGATCCCTGAAGGTCACAGTTTTGGCCGCAGTGAGCCAGGTGATGCAATCTGTTGCAACATAGAGATTACGGATGTTTGATCTGTCATAACTCACTGTGAGGTGTTGGCAGAGTTTCCAAAGAGATGGATTTTCCCTGAAGGTGCGATGAAGGTGCTTGGAAATTTGCGTCGGCCGTCTCCAATGATCAACGCTGGTGTAGATCACTAACTCTGCGTACAAGTATGGCACCGTAATGCGATAAAAGCGTTTACACACAAGAGAGAAAACGGCCATCTCGTAGACTTGGTGATACTCGCGTAAATATCTGTGTTCATGGATAGTTGGCGCCATCGCACTAATAATCATATCCAAAAGTTCGTCGGGTAATTTGAGGATGAAGGCCCGGTCTAGAGAGATGTGGTTGGTATCCATGGTCGATAACCTTTGATGCCGTGAGATATTGTGCAAGAAAACTGCTTTTAAAGGTGAGGAATGAGGGAACCCCTTGATTGTTGAGCCTCACCGTAACTTCCAACAGTCCATTTGAGCCGCAGCCCCTCTCTCCAGCGCCCTTGTGTCGCAGTGCATAGTGACCACTAAGGTCTTTGGTCTTATTGGCTTTTAGAATTCACCGCTTGTGTCTCGTTCGAAGTAATTTCTATACTTTAATTGTTATACCTACCTGATCAGAAGTTTATATAGAATCATACTAAGGTGGTCATTTATGTAGAAGTATATAGAATAGTCGGCTGCTTATACCCTCTATACTCAAACTATATAGCGCATGATCTGAATATCAAGTGGTTTTATAATAATATTATAGACCTTATAATTACAATTTTACTACGATTCTTTTAAGATATATTTTTTAGTTTCCTTTTAGATACCTTTTTAGTACAATCAGTCGTAACGTACAGAATAGGGTGAAAGGCACGATTCCTATAAAATAGCTGTTGAATACATAATATACATGACTAGAAGTGCTTATTGAATTAATTAAGACGCTATAATAAGTTGAAAAATTAGTAAACGGCCAATTTTCTACTAGCAATAAAAACCAATAGGACCAAAGTCCCTAGTGGTCGCTATGCACTGCGATACCCTTTCTTTAATGCTTTATATTTTGCGTTGCAGATCACAATTATAACTTACTATCTCTGTGATTTATACATTATCAAGCATTACGGGTGTGCACATGTCATGGAATGAGACTAGACACGTTGTACTATGGCTGTCGGACCTGAGTACAGCCCAAGCCCATTCTGTGCATACTAACTACATGCAGGTAATGTCACAGATGGGTATGGTATACATCCAGCGCAGGAGATCCATAATAATACTGTAGTTTCAGCAGAGGGCAAAAGTAGAATGCAGCATAGGTAAAAGATCAGCAATCAAGAGAAATTGGGCGCAGTGATAAAACAGAAGCTTTCTGAATCAAGGACAACATCTTACGTGTTGGGGGGACGGACAGTAACGTCAAACAGAGCACAATGCGGTATGGTCATTGGGGCTCCATCGACTGTGCTATTGGTCATATCAACCTTAGAATAGTAACATGGCTGCTGCATATTTAACGGCTGTTGCAGAATGGGTGACACGTTGATAGGATTCTGGCGAAGGCCGTCAAGATAGGCTCTGGTTAACGGACGGGGAGAAGTATTAAGCGGGGCGAGCTGCCATCTTTCAAAGTGTATAGCGGTCTTCTTAATCGAGATAAGTATAATAATGCGTACTTAACTGCTTGAAGCGCCAAACCACCATCTAGCGTCTTCAACAAGTTTTACCAGGGTTTCTAAGACGCCAGTTTCAATGAGCACGATAGAGTAGGTCAAGTTAGCACTAGACGGCCAACGTGCAGAGAGCCTACTTGATCTCCTTCTTTGTTGCGCCCTAGAGATTTATATCTGGTGGCTCTGCCCCAACGATACTATTTGTTCAACCCCATACCATCGAGTTGCAGATTGACTTTCTACAAGAACGCGGTAATAGTGTAGTCGTGCTATAATCTGGTATCACACGTAAAATGTCTATACCCCCTTCGAATTCGAAACGATAGTTCACACCCTTAAGGTAATTATGATTCTCGAACAGTGGCTCGGAGATTTGGGGCCGCAGCTTGAGGAGAATGAGGTGCTGGTTGCCGTTGTGTTCCTTGTCTTGTTCAAGTGTTTCCGCAATATTTTCAACTTCGAGCTTAAGATGTTTGAGGCGGGTGAATGCGTGGATCACAACATCATAGCCCGAGACAGCTACTCCTCGCGAGGAGCCCTTTTCTGATTATTGTTCGACGTGATTGGCCTTCTTCGAGGTTGGTGGGGAAGGTTCGAGATGGCTGGCACGAGGAGGTATAGGGAGTATGTAGAATGATAGCGTGAGAGTGAAATGAAACTGAGAGTAATCCTTGTTGGCTACCTCTTACCTTTTTAAAACTGATGATAGGAAGGTAGCAGTACAGATCCCACTCCTTCCCAAGTTGCAAAAACCGGAACGGGCATACCAAACTCACTAGAGTCATGCATAGCCTACTACTGGTAGTAGACGTGAGCGGGATAACCACAGCTGCATTCCAAGGTTGTCACTCAATTGGCTCCATCTGTAAGATCATTATGCGAGGTATTCAAGGTCAGGTAGTTCAGAACTGTACCAACATATCAAGTATTCTGGCACTTCCCCTGAGCCTCGAGCTTTTACTTGATTGTGAATTCTCTTGACTTCTACTACATCTCACATCCTACTCTGTTCCAATCCTTTACCTGGATGGTTCACCTCTACTCACATTGACATACACTTTGACACTTGGTTCACCACGCTATCTTTCTAGTCGACTTTCCAAGCTTCCTCTTTCCTCCTTTCTTCCTTCTAAGTACCACGCTGGAGCTGGCATTCGTTCCTGATTTTTTTTCAACTCTTTTGCTCTCTCCTCCATTCTTTCGCATCATCATCATCTGTACATCTACAACTCCTCAAATACCCACTCTGGTCACCACAATTCCTGCAGGCCCGTCTTCACAATGGAGATCTCATCTTTTGCTCAAAGTGAAATCCCCAAGAATAGCACGGTATTCACCTTGTCAACTTCCAGCGATCTCAAGATCCTGATCACCGAGTCGATTGAAGCGTACCCGCATCAGGATAACGACCCGAGCGATGCAGAGGAAGTGAGCCAAGATTGTCCCGCAAGGTTTAACTCGCCACATGCTCCCATCATTAGGACAGCTATCTTCTACGTCAAAAAGTCGGCTCTCGCTGAAAACAATGTCCTTCCCACAGACCTGGGCTGGAAGGGAGAAGTGCAAAATGACACAATCAGTCTCACAATGGATAGTATCAGGGGCATGGGTGTTTGGCTGGCCACCTTTCATGGCCAATTTACTCCTCATCCAACTATGTCCATCGAAGATATCTGGGATGCCATCAAAGTCTGTGTTGAATATGACTTTGATCGCACAAAATTGAAACCTTGGTTCGCAGACTGGGTGGACAGAATTCGCGATGAGCAGCCCGTGAAGTGGAGTGACGCCATGTTCAACCGCCAGCTCCTGTTCCCCTGTCACTTTTTTGACGACGCGGAAGGGTTCAAACACTTGACCAGATGTCTGGTTTACAACACAAACATGTTCTCTCAAATCAAAGAGTCGAAGCCGATTCTCTTCAACCGAGGGCATCTTACTCCCAGATTCGTCATACGTGAGTCACACTATCTACAATAGTTTTAGAGCAAAGGCCTTGAGTTCTAATTATTCTGAAATCCACATAGAGCAACTCAATGCGGTTAGGGAAAAGCTCCGCACGACCCTTCAAGGCCACGTTTCTGCAGAAGTCGATAGGAACCTCCAACAGAATCCGTGCGACTGCAATGAGACCTCAATCTGCGTATACCTAAAGGAACTCAATCGAATTGGAATTAGGCCATGGGGGGACACATTCTACAAAAGCAGCATCAAGGAGATCACCGACAGACTCGAACTATTTGACAAGGCCCACATTCGAAAGCTAAATGTGAAGCCATGCCATTGCAAATTCTCGCCGCATTGCGGATGCTCCATTTCCTGGGATGAGGTGATCAAGAAAGCCCGCAACGAGACTCTCGAGTACTTTGAAGGTTTGTGCTTGGACTGTATGAGGCGGTCTCCCAGGAAAGATTCGAAGTACTGGAGACCTGAAAGTCACCAAGAAGATTATGACAAACATTGCCGTATTTATCATGGCAAGACAAGCTGGTATTTCAGTTTCATGGGGGAACGTTAGCAGTTTGAGGGAGGTTGCAGAAAGGGTGGTTTGACACTTTGTTACTTTCAAGTGCAACTTGATGGTTTTCGCGCTATTTTTATCTTTTGCATATTGCAGCTTGAATTAAAAGCTTTGAATCTCTCCAACTCTTGAGTCTCCTTCGAAAAGATGAGACTTCAACTTTCAGGCAGAAGAGGAGCCATCGTCCATCTTGGCTTCCAAAGAACTAAAGCAGGAAAGTATTCTGAGCTACCAAAAGAACTAAAGCAGGAAAGCATTCTGAGCTACCGCCAAATATATAGCGTTTGTATATAAAGTAAGCTAGATCAAATACATACATATGTACATCATCACTTCCCCTTTCAACTCGATTTGTTTGCCATCCAACTGATTCCGGTCTTTACCTTGAACCTCTCTGGTCCAACCAGCTCCAAAAAGCTGTTCTTCCAATATTCTCCTTATTTCACTTTCTTCCACTGTCCCCCTTCAGATCTTGCTATATCTTATCTCCCCCATCCACTCAAGATGGAGTCGACAAAGTTTCCAAAGAGACCCACGCTGCGATGGGACCAATACAAGCGACAGGTGCTCTGCTGTTTGTATCGCTTCTTTTTTTGCAACAAAAAGCAAACTGAAGAAATATTCTCCTACATGTTCCGGGGTCATCTAAACCAGCGCGGCATTCAAGGGTTTGTTCCATTTGCCACCCTCAACACCCAGTGGGTTTGGATGAAGAACAAACGTGATCCAGTCTGGTCCCGTGTGCATATCAATACCGCATTTAAGACTGATGGCGAGTGGAAGAAAATTATTACAGAGATTAAATCCGCAGCCAAAACTTTGCGGTTCGAACTCCGCGAGAAGACGGAGGATGACAACAACATGTCGCGCTGGAGTTCTCTTGGGTCTGATGATGAACGGAGTATTGCATCCGTTAGTTGATCTCAGACACATCTAATCTGCAATTCCAAGCTGACGATTCGTTCTCTTAGAATGGACCCGCCGCGCCAATGCTTCCGCACTCATTGTCTACTCCGGAGACTCTCAACCCGATGGTATTGGTATTCCCGAGCCGGGATCATGTCTTCAGTGAAAGATCCAGAGCCAGCCAAAGCATCGACCAAAGCATCGATGAAAACGTCGACCAGACCATCGACCAGGGGACTGACTTCCAAAATGGCCTCCACAATGGACTCCATACGTCCAACGAGCCGGTCGTCACTAGCCGCGGAAAGCTCTGCCTCTGGTGTGAACATGAAGGAACCACATACGAGTCCGAGCACATCCAGGAACTACAAGATGAAGACTACGACAGTGAATATGAGGATCATAGTCATGATAACCAGCATAATGACCGACAAAACGATCCTAGCATGAGAGAGTACACCCAAGGATTCAAGCAGTTTATGAGGGAGCTACATGGCGAAGTCCCATATTCGGATGAAGAATTGTTTGATTCAGAGAGCGAGGCGTACCTGATGACACCCCATGAAAGCCCCTCAAAAGTGCGCCCATTTTGCGACCCACACTTGGCCTTGCCTTCAAACCTAGAACAAGAGCCTCTAGGTTCTGAGGATAATTCAGATTGGTGCGCTGACAGAGGAAGCCCAGCTGTTTTGGCTGGTTTTGGGACCCCTTCGATATCAATGGAAAACCAGGGCGGCGCCCTTGACGATAAGCGAACTTCCACACAAGAGGCTCTGTCCAGCTTCGGTTTTACCCAGACCCACATGGGTCACGATGAGGCGCCTGACGACGGCTTCGGTGGTCAGAGGGCGTTGCAGGATGAATGGCCCTCAGATGATGACATGAGGGTTGAAAGTCTACGCCAGATGTCCGTGGAAGCTCTCCGCCTTGTTGAAAACCAGTCAACCACTCACCTTTCTTATCAGAAGGAAATAGATGTCTTGATGTATGACGGCAATACATGGAAGCAAGTGTAGGATAGTGAGATGGATACTACATAATAGTGTCTAGAGTCAAGTGACTCATAGTTAACATCAATACATCAATCCAAATTTAATTAATCTGATACCAGGTTCAACCGTGGGCTTTTCTGCTGGAGGCCATCAAAAAAAAATAAACAGCCTTGGAATTTCTCTCTATCAAAGACGCTAACCCGTGTTGACTTTTTTTGCTTAGCGGCACGTGATCGGCAATCTCGTGGGCAGCGGCGGCCAGACAATAACATCTTCTCTACCCCTTTGCTCTCAGCATAACACTCTCCCTTGCCCTTTGGAACCAAAACCTGGGATTAGGGCCGCTTCTGCCTGAAACACGGCTTCTGCCTGGGGCCAAAATACAAAAATATGATGATTTTCAGCATTGATGCTCTTCTACTGCAATTTCCCTCCCCAAGATGTCTTCAAACTCCAATCCGCAGCTTCGAATGCCGGGGTTCAATGTGGATTTGAACTGTGAGCCCAAGGTGAGAACTGGCCTTTTTTTTAATGAGGCACGCGCTAACTAGCCAGAGAAATATTTTTGGTATGAAAATCAAAGGGTTTCGGAATGCTCTAGATAAGGATCATCATGCATATGGCTGCATGTAGTATGTTTTACTTGTATGTCTGTGGATGATGTCTTGGGTTGACGTAGGTTCTCTAGTAACTTGGTTACTCGCCGAGAGATTCTCATGATGGGAGTCATGAATACCATCACCGATCAGCCCGAATGGGATCGAAAGGTGCAAAGTTCTCATCGTTGTTTTTTTCTTCTTATTTCTAACATGCTACAGGTCTTTGATGAGGATATCACGGCTGAATGGCGGGAGGAAATCGTCCAAAGCGGACAAGACGTGACTCCGAAGATGATGGATTGGATCATCAAAGAGCTTCAATGGAAAGCCGGCATTTTCAAAGAGAGAGGCCTTGTTCGTGTCTTTGATGTGGGTGTTGTTAAGTCCGATACCGCCGTGTCGAAAGAACTACAGCAGGCATTAAAAGAGTCCGTCAATCGTCTCGAGAACATTCCAGAGGACCAGAAAGACTATCACCCGGGATCTGACAACAAGGTGGTCAATCTAGTGAACCCCTCACTATTCCCAGTGGTATACGGCCAGACTCGTGTTCTCGCAAATAGTACCATCGGTCTCGATGACTGCGTAAGCAGCGTCGGACGGGGGGACTTGATCCCCGTTCCCTCTAGCGAGAACTGCTGTTTGCCTACCGAATACAATGACTTTCGATCTAATGTTGCGGAGATGAAGACTCCAGTCTTCAGCGAAAAGTTCCAATGGCTCCCATGTGACGTGGAATTCACTCATGACACCGGCTGCAGAATTGTCTCGTATATCAACAATGTCCATCCCGTTGACCATAAAGGGCTGTATGACGTGGTTGGGAAAATCATCGCCCGCATAATCCCACTCTGGGATCAGAGTTTGACAGAATTCTATAGCTACAGAATCAATTATCGGGATGTCAAGTACGGTAGACATACGAGGCCTATGCCGGTTTGGCCTGAGAGAGACAACAAAAACGCATATAAATATGTCGAGGAAGAAATCGAAGAATTCGACATCGAAAACGAGGCTGAAGAGTCATTCTGGGAACGCAGATGGCAGTGGGAAATAACCCGTCCTATCTTACTTCCTGAACCGGAAGAATTCGCTTTCCCTGGAGAATGGCGCAGGGTCAATCTGCGGAACCAATTCCCCGAAACGAAGCTGCAGGTCATTGTGAAGTTGGCCAATATCGAATTGACCACTAACAACCCCGAGTATGAAGGAGGCTCGTGGCACCTCGAGGGACAGCTAGTGAGTGATTCGTACCCCCCATTCAGCTCCTCGTTCAGCCCCCTCTATTCATTCCCACGTACTAATCCCAATCAGAACGAGCGTATCTGTGCCACCGCGATCTACTACTACGACAGCGAAAACATCACCGAGAGCACCCAAGGTTTCCGTCAACATGGAATGGACACCATGATAAATATGAGATTCCAATATGGACAGCACCAGTTTCTACAAGCGGTATACGGCTTTGGCGACGATGTCCAGGGCAGCGGCAGGACTAATGTGACACAAAACCTTGGCGGAGTGGTCTGCCAGGAAGGCCGACTCCTCACGTTTCCCAACACCGTCCAGCACCGAGTTTCCCCATTCTCGCTGGCCGACCGATCTAAGCCTGGCCATTGTAAGATCCTCACATTGTTCCTAGTGGATCCTCATCGGCGGGTTATCTCCTCTGCCAATGTGCCTCCGCAGAGGGAGGACTGGGGTGGCGAGAGGCAGCAGGTTGTGAATCAAGTGCTGTCAAAACTGCCGTTGGAATTGCAGAATATGGTTGAAAGCGACATCAACCACCCAATAACCATGGACGAGGCTAAGGCGCACAGGTTGGAGCTTATGAAAGAGCACGGGCGGAAATCGGAGATTCATAACTACAACTTTGAGATGGGCAACTTCTCCCTCAGATAGGGGAACTTAAAGACGAGTTCAATGGAAAGAATTATCAGAAAACAATAGAGAACGAATAGCATTGAATACTTTTTCCCACATAGTAGCTCCACACGAGAGAGGAGAGAAAGATCTATATAGAAATATCAAGCAGTAACAAACATCAATGTTGGCCCAATACCACGAACAGCCCATCTTGTTCAACAGGTTATATTATTGATTTCCCCGACGGGATATCCGGGTTAAATTGAGGATGATTCCGATGCTCTCATATTTATTTGCAGTCGGAAACGGCCTATCCATTTGTGCCTGAGTCGCGGTAGGAAGCCTTGGTCCACGCATCAGGGGATTGGTGGTATTGTAGTCATATATCCACAAACGGTTCGAGTTATCGGGGGCTGTTCCTGTGTAGAACTTCCAACGCATCCAAGGACCATTCAGGCGTTTTGCTCCACCCCCAGGAAGGACGACAACCGGTATCCAGTCCCAACTGGCTGCCATATATCGCTTCTCTTGCTCATCCCACATGTTGACTTCCAATTCTCTTACAAACATGGCTTCCTTGCTCCCATCGCCCAAGGTTACGGCTAGCACACCCAAGAGTCGAGGTACGGGGTACATAATGCCATTTGCTGGTAGATTGGTCCTTAGTCGTTCCACATCATTGTCATAAAGGACCATATAATCGGCCCCGGTATCATCCTTGAACTGGAATTCAAAGGGCCCAGGTGGTGGTTTACCGCCTGTCATAGGGATCCGAAGAGTAATTGATGTCTAAGAAAATGTTAGAATCAGCAATTTACATTGGAAAATTGCAAAGGCATACCTCGGCTGCCCACTTTCTGGACCCCGTTCCGCATTCGATCACAGCCTGTTGACTGCTAGGTCCAGGGCCATCAATCTGAATTATCCAAGTCAGCATACTTGTTCATCCATCCAATGATAAGGGATTGAGTAGCAGGACTTACACCCTCGACCCAAAACCCAGTCTCATTTCCCTTGTGCTTGTCATAGAGGTATTGGAATTCATTCCACCTGAAGGGCCTTGTGCGCAGAGCTGGGCTCCATTGTGCCAGTAGGTGACAAAGCCATGACACCAGTCCAAGACACCCGATCGGTAGGCAAGTATGACATTTTGATCGTTGCTGGCGATATTGTATTTGGCCTTGACGGCATTGCTCTGAATCCATTCCAGGATAGATTCCAGATTCTCTAGGCGTTGCACGACGGGCCAATTTAGCCCATTCTCCGCAGCCATCTTTTGACTAAATAGGGTTAAAAACATTAGCGATTGTCAATATATTCTATTGAGGTCTCATGACTGACTCGCGTTTTTTCTGCTCCACCAGGAGCTCTTCCAGTTTATGTTCATAGACATGAGGCATGATGTTCTCTTTAATCTGCTCGCGACATCTCGTGATTTGAGGCTACAGATCACTATACACCATAGGTTAATAGTTGTATTTCCCTATCAACTAGTTCGAGCTTACTCATTAATCAGATCGGGTTTAGGGGCCTTTTTCTTTTGCTTTTTCGCGGAGCCTGACTTTGCCTGCGAATCATCTGGTGCTGCACTTTGTCCTTTAATCGTATAGGAAGGTCACCTTCAAGCTGACCTCTAGCCGCTTCGTTGCGCCGTTCTTGCTGTTTTTCACTAAAGAAACCTTGAGGTTTTCGGGCTCGCCGGGGGGTTTTGTCCATCGCCCGGGTTGTCAGACATTTGAAATAGAAAGCAGTGAGCAGTGTTGTGAGATGGTTGGTATTTTCTAGAGATATGGAGGATGAAGCAAGAATCAGACAACCATGAGTACGAAGGATCTGTCGAGGTATTTTATATGGAATAGTTGGCTTTCATTGACGAGATTCGTTCGAGTTGCTTCTTCGGTTTTTCTTTATGCACTTTTCGATATGAAAGGATATGGAGTTGCAATTGGCGAATCCAACCCGAATCTCGATTCTTTGAAGATATAAAAAGCATTGCTATCGGACCGGACACTATCGCTTAAGACACACTTCGAAGCCAGAAACCCAGATGTTATGTATTGTCATCTCTAGTATAATATCGATGCCATCAGCCTTGTTTAATATGTTATACCACTCCAACTCCGGTCAATACAATTTTGGTTTTATTGCCTATCACTGGTATTGAAATCCACTGTGTAACTAATCTTAGACCACCGCAGACAATTGGCAAGCTAGAAATTATGCTCAATCCGTGTGGAAGACGCCATACGCAAAGTGAAGGACCGAACAAGTTCAAAAATAAACAAGAAAAACGGGAAAACAAGTGAAGGAAAACCAAAAAGATATGTAACGACGGCTGCATGGTTCGAACATGCGCCCGCGAACGGAATTGATTTCAAGCTGTTGGAATTGTTAGTGGTTGTTTTTTGTGGATTTGTTTTTATAAAGAGAAGCGCACTCAATCGCCTTAGACCACTCGGCCAAACCGCCATTTGAAAAAAATTGGCCAAAAATGGCATCGAGTACCAAAATCTAGATGTAAGCATAGTTGATATTCCCCGGGAGGGACTTTTTGATGTTGGAGTCATTGACATTGATGTGGATGAGGCTAGGATGTGCGGGCACAGCTTGGTATCCTTGCTTTCGCTGAAAATGTGAATTGATTCTCCTTGGGTACTGTTATCCTGGGTGAATAGGGCGGATAAAGGTGGTCAAGAGGTCCGTTAGTAGTCCACAGAGCCAGCTGCACAGAGTCATCATTGCTAAGGCAATTAAAGGGTTGAACTGTTTGTGGGGAGAAGGGCGAGGGATGATAATCGGATAAAGGCGATAAAGGCGATAAAGGTACTGACTCTGGAGCTCATAGCGACTTGGCTGCCTTAGGCCATAAAGGAAACACTCACATGGACCTAGGATCTTGAACATTCGAAGGTTAAACATGAAAGGAGTAAGTTGGCATATATGTTTTGTTTCATCGGGTCTCCACAAAATGCAAATGATATCTCCCGATAGGTAGACCTTGGGAGAGGACCCTGTCCTCTGGCACACATTCACACCAGGGGCATTAGGAGGAATTACCACCGCCTTGACCATCGTTCAACCCCAATCCTGAGTTTGGGACTTACACTGGTCCAGATATGTAAAAATCTTTCAGCTGCTCCTCAAACTTCGCCCACCGGCCCTTCCACTTACACGCGGAGGTCCAGTAATTCCCCTTCCCAACCTTCCCGAGGATAAAGAAACCATCCCCAGGCTTCACAGGGCCATGATTCTCTTGAACGTGTGAAGGCCTGCACGGCAGGCTGTCATCCCTTGGGCCCCGACGAGCCGGGGAAAAGTCTGAGTTGAACAAGCCAGCTTTCGACCAAATGGAGAACCCGACTTCGGCCATGCCACCCTCCCCAAATACAATAATAGGCAGATCGGTTCCAGAAGTGCGAACCATGGCGTAATACGCCTCGCGTTGAGCACGCGTGCCCTGTTCGTTAATGGCGTGCCGGACCTGCCGTGCGAGCCAGCTAAGCGGCTTGGAAGTTATGTCGCCCGCGGTAACAAGTACATTGGCCCAGCCGAAAGCGTTGCCAACATAGGGATGGTCGGTGGATGCAGGAAGGAGGTCACCTTCGAAAGGTTTGCGGACAAGACACTTACCTATACTACACTCGACAGTCACTATCATGATTTCCTATGGCGTTGCGCTGGTCTATTTTGTGAATGTGGTTAACTGTAGGTCTCTCGTATCTTGGGATTAAGCTATGTTCTGACTCAAATAGTAATGAACTATGGCTGGGGAAGGCACATGCGGAATGTTAGCTTGGAAGATCTTATGGAGTTCAATAAAGTGAGACTTCTTTGCATAATTTGGAGCATACTGGCTAACAAGAAGCAGCGCCTGCTCATCAATACCTTGACTTATTTGATATGTCCATGTATCACCAAGATGGCTATTCTGTCTGTTTTATATCAAATCAATCCTGCAAAGATATACCGCTACCTCTTCGTGGCTGTCGCAGTGGCGATCTTTGCATACTCTCTGACCTTATGCATCATCACCGGAGGACCGTGTAATCCTCTCCACGTCGGAACTACAGCGTGTCTAGAAAACGTCGCCCTATCCCAGGCAGTCCTAAACATTGCCTCTGATTTGGCTGTGATCGAAATCCCAATCCCGACGATCCATGGTCTCCATTTTTCAACGAAACAAAAAGTCACGGTCGGCTGCCTGTTGGCTCTGGGGTCTGGGTATGGTTTTCCCTCATCTCTTACATTATCATTCCCTCGTTTCTCCATGAATAATCCCCGCTAACCCCATCCCATAGCGTCATAATCTGCTCAATAGCACGCCTACCATACGCCTTGCTCCTCGGCAAAACCACCGACACAACCTATACCGAAGCCATCCTAAGAGTGTGGTCCCTCGTTGAGGTCAACCTCGGCATCATCTGCGCCTGCGCAATGCGGTTCAAGCGCCTGACCGCGATATATCTACCGCGGCCTTCGATATTCTCGTCGCGCTCGCACGGTATCGCGAAACGCACAGAGGACACACCCATAAACAAGTTACAGCCCAAAAATAGTGGAGGGCAGCACTCCTACCAGCTGCATAGCATCCAGGATGGAGACACCAATCCGTTTGCCGGCGCGAAAGATATCTCCGTCCACCGGTCGTTCAAGGTGGATGAAGAACGTACACACGTGTATCGCGGGGACAATGATAGCGCTGATAAAATTTTGGCTTGAGTATACACATGTCAAACAAATCAAATATTTTTTCACTTTTATACAATCGTCGGCGGTTCCATCAGATAAGGTCTACGATGTAGAATTTCACGGAGTACTCGTGGTCAGATGTCCCCCAATAGGGCCGTTAATTGAGACCAGCACGAGTTGAGTAAGATCATGCCTAGGTGGACAATAAATCAAATGAAAATTTCATCTGCTCCCCGCATCAAGGAATTCACCCCTTCCCCGTAGATATCCGGACCGAGGCAGACGACTCAATCACAGGTCCTGATGCCCCGCGTTACAAGATCCCAGCTCCTCGCACTCCATTCTTTTTTAGGGCTCTCCAACGCCTCGATCAGTCTTGATTGATTCGTTCAAAAAATTATAGAGTTCTGGCAACGTCTCCTGTTTGAGGGTTGTGTGTCGATCATGACTTCACGTATGCGGCTATACAAGACAAATTTGAACGGACACAGGTATATAAGAATCTATAGATCTCCCTATAGTCAACATTATCTCTTAAGGTGAAATTCAAAATCAAGTAAGAATGTCTACCCAAACCACAACCACCATCAAGCGCAATCCGGCAGATTCCATGGTATCTACCTGGCGCCATGACCGATCTCAATGGAACTCCTCGCACTGGATGATTGAGCTCCTTGGCTTGCATCTCATTGACTTTGACGCGGAAGTTCCAATCTTCTCCAAGAAAGATAAAATACCCGCCATACGAGAATGGACGGTCCACTTGTGGATTTTACTACACGCCGCGATCCCGCTCGCACTACACCACGCCTACACAACCTACACCGGCCAGAACATGCACCTAATCGGTGCCTTTGCGTTGTATTCTAGTGCGTTTAAGCTGAACGGCATCCACGAAATGCACATCATGCGCCGCCTAGGCCAAGTCTATGGCTTCTTGGATGGCGACAAGCATCCTCGGGATGAGATCCCGGATGTTGGCGTTAGCAAGGTGATACGGGAGCTTATATCCACCTCAACGCTGCGTATGGTGATGGCTGTATTTCTTACGTACCGACAGGGAGAGACACCGTCGTCACTGGAATGGAAGTGGCTTCCTTTGGAGATCGGCCTATACAGTATCACGGTCGACTTTTGGTTCTACTGGTATCACCGTATGATGCACTCGGTGGGCCCTTTGTGGAAGTTCCACCGTAGACACCACCTGACAAAACATCCCAATCCTTTGCTTTCAGCATACGCCGACCATGAGCAGGAATTTATGGATATTACGGGTATTCCGCTTCTTGCGTATACCACGTTGAAGATTATTGGGCTGCCTATGGGTTTTTACGGGTGGTGGATTTGCTTTCAATATATTGCGTTCTCAGAGTTTATCGGTCATAGTGGGCTTCGACTTCATGGTGGTGCACCCTCTACTGTGAATTGGCTGCTGGAAATGTTTGACGCTGAGTTGGTGATTGAAGACCATGATTTACATCACCGCTATGGATGGAGAAAGAGCCATAACTATGGCAAGCAGACTCGTCTTTGGGATAGGATTTTTGGCACTTGTCATGAGCGCATCGAAAGTGTGAAAGAGAATGTTGATTACACAAATCGTGTGACGATGCCTCTTCTGTGAAGTTTGAATATAGAAATGAGCTATGTTGATACGAGATATGACCACTGGTACATGAGATGCGAGTAAATAATGAATATGCATGAGCTCTAGGGCTCTGTTACCGATCAGCATCTACTATAAGAGTTCCATTTTTGAGCGCATTTGATCATCATCGTATTAGCATACTAAGATATTCAATGGAGAGGAACACCAAATATGAAATTATTGCAATATGTGTAGCAAGCTATCGTAGTTGAGTAAAAAGTGAACAACCCCATCTATTCATCCGCAGACAAGCCACTAAACTCATCAGAGCAAGGGCGTTCATCAGATCCCACAAAGAGTGCATTATCATCCCCATCACTCAGTTCCAACGGATTCTCAGGACCACTACCCTTGAACGCACCAGGGGACTCCTCAGCCTCAAAATAACAATCACCAAGATCCTCAAAATCATCCCTCGCCCCTCTATGCTCCAGCATCACCCTGATCCCATGCATAATGTCTTCAATACGCGTAGAGATATAGTCCAGCTCATCGTACATCTGGCGCGCCAACCAGGTCTCACACTTGCTCCCACTCTGGCTCCAGGTGCGCTGGTTGTACTGCGACACCACGCGCAAAGCCGAAGTGTATGGGGTGGGAACTTCTTCGTTGTGCTGCTCGGGCAGGTAGTCGGAGACTGGCTCGTGTGAAGTCTCCCTCTCGTCGGACTCGCAGTTGAATAGGTCCAACTCCAAATCCCGGGGGTGGATGAATTCAGAAGGCGGGAGGTCTGTGAGTTCAAATGGGTGCGTGGGCTTGGTAGAAGTAGCGTCCTTCGCGGCTTTCTGGTCCGATGACGGCTTGAGCGAGCGTTCAAGCCGAGTGGGCTCGGGAGATGTGGACTGTTGCATTCCACGCGATATGACAGACTTGCTCGCACCTTTGTCTCTCTTGCGCTCCTTGTTTGGCGAGCGCTTGTGCGAGCCCTTGGATGTCTTAGAGGTCTTAGAGGTCTTAGAGTGGATCGATCCGGGGGATATGGTCTCCATTGAGGAACTCATCCGCAGATGCTTGGCCCCAGATCGAACTTCTCTCTTGCGCTTTTTGGTCGCAGTGGTCGCAACCGAGTCAGAAGAGTTGACGTCGAAGAGATCCTAGGGCATATTTATGTCAGCATATTTGTTATCATCCATAGGCTGTGCCGCATATTTGATTGTAAGGGGTAGGGTATTCAATATAGATAGTCTTAAGGCTATTGAACTCTTGATGTAAGTGAGATAAGCCGCAAAATCAGACCTTCACCTGTTTACCATGGGTGGGATCTTTGAGGCGGGCTGAAGTCTGGACCTTTTCCTTTGGAATAGCCGGCATCATTTTGGTCAGATTGGTGATGAAAAAGAGATATTAAAGGTTTCTATTGGGCAAAGGGGATGATGGAAGATACAGATATGGAGAGGATGATGAATCGCTGTGCAGACAGAGTATTGACATCAATTTATAGCTGTGCATGGCTGAGAACGACAAATAAGAGCAACAAATAAGGTCAGGGGACATACGTTCATATCAAACTTGATATAGTTTACGGGTATCAGATGCATGTGCACTAATAAAGATGGCGAGGTATGAAGATGATGGTGATGGTTGATGTGACGTCGAATGTATAAAAGTTGATGACTATCTATAGATAGTTCTACATTAAACAAGCAAAATAAGTAGAAAGTAAGAGATCATTCTTGATCGAAGTTAGATGTGAATATAATAAAAAGCGGTATGTCCAGGAGAATAATGCGCAAAAACCAACAAAGAATAAGCTCCACAAGAAAGGCAGACGTGAAAAGTTAACCCAAGAGGGCTCATTATGTATTATCTAAGAAGACGTAGACAAGACATATACACCAGAAGAAGAACCCACAGCCGTAAACACCCAATAGCATTGTGCAGATATCATCAAAGCGATAACACCAGTGTCACAATGCTATCTCTTCATGATACCATTGACACACTCAACTGATTTACAGGAGGAGGGCAACGGCACCGAAGACGGCAGCCAGACCGGCACCAGCACCGGTAGCGGCGTTGATGGCACCGGCGTTGAAGGCGGGCTGGGAGGGGGTGGCAGCGCTGGAAGGAGCGCTGGGCACGCCAGTGGGGCCAGCGCTGGGGACCAGAGGGGTGGAGGTGGCGACGCTGGGGACGACGGGGATGAGGGGAACGCTGCTGGTGGCCACGGGGGTGGAGACCGCGGGGGTGGAAGAGCTAGGAATGTGTTAGATTGGAATTGATTGGTCATGCTGAATAGAGAGTAATTCTTACCAGGAGTTGCACTCAGTCACGGTGGAGCTCTGAATGGGACGAGTGACGGTGTAGGGACCGTGGGTCATGGTGATGTGGCCGGGCTGAGATGCTGTTAGTATGCGTGGCGAACTTGTTGGTAAGGTAAACATACGGTGGAGATGCTGTAGGTATGGCTTCCGTGCACAATGGAGGTGGCCTCAGGGCAGTAGGTGGTGTAATCGGTGACGGTCTCAGTGACAACACCGGCCATGGCACCAGCGGCACCGAGAGCGAGAGCGGCAATAGAGAAACGCATTGTGATAGAGTTGATAGAGATGATTGGAATTCCAAAAATGTTCAAAGATAAGGTTATATGTAAAAGAATGGCAGGGTTTAAAAGAATGTAATCGGTTGAAAACCGGGGATTTAGAGAATGTAAGCGTGGGTGAAGAGGGAGGGAAGAGAAGGGGGGAGTCAGGAGAGTTTATAACCAATCCTGTAGATTAAATTAGGATTTTAATTAAATGAGATTCAGGTACCCGTGCCACTAAGGGCCCCAGGGAAACACTTGTGGGAAAGGAAAAGGGGCAGAGACAATAGTGTGGCAATAAGAGACTGGGAAAAAAAATAAACAACAGTAGATTGGGGGAACTTGGGAAAAGGTACTTAACGCTATAGCCAAATTATTATGAAGACCAAAGTCACTTCCTCCCTAGCGTCCTCCTCACCTTAAGCGCACGCTCTCAGGAACCGGTTCAAGGTGCGTGGCCCGGGGGATCCTTTCCCATTTGGGAATGGTGGGCTGCTAGGGTTGGACCAATTTCTCTGGGCACTGGCGATTTGTAGTTCTAGGTGCTTTGATCGGCTTATTATGATATTGTGGAATTTTTATATCTTTTGTATCGTCCACCTAGGCATATTTTAAGGACTTTAAAAACTTCCTCTCTTAAACTATATTTTAATAAAGGTCTAACCTGGTTGGTTGAATATATATATACTCTCAAAAAAATCGTATAAAGAGTTGTCATCTCCACAATATGTTGTAAATGGCTTCTTGTTTTCCCTTTTAGACAAGACTAGACTGTTTTTTCATGGACTCTGTTATATATAATTTCCGGGAGAGATATAAAAAAGAAGACATCAAAATAAATACCCAAAATAGGCAATTGATGTTTTATATCCTCTGTTCTAGATGCCTTCTGAGTAACTATTTTTTTTTAATTCTCGAATTTATTATACATGGCACATGAAACTGTAGAAACTAAGAATTAGTTACTCTAAAATCAGATATCTTAATTACTTCCTCCAGGGCTGCCCAGGTGAAGAGATCGTGATTATGCAAGAATGATGGGGTACCCGGGGTACAAGACTCGTTGACCGCTTTATTAGCTATCTGAACTTTCTAACCTTGGAAGGTTGGAATAAAGTCCAATATGTTTTATCAGACTATTCTAGCCCAAAATGCATCTCCTAGATCTACCACTTGAGATTATCCACCTCATTTTCCAGTCCATACCCAACAAATGGGGTCTATACAGTCTCTCTGCCTTGCAAAACCCTCACTTCTCCAACTCCCCCCTGATCCAAGGACAGATGTTTTCTCCCTTGACTTGTGGTCTCTCAACTCTTTTGTCCAAGCATGCAAAGCGCTATATCTGCTCCTGAACCCCTCCCTTTATCAATGGGATGCCGAGTTTTACTCCAACCGTGCGCTGCTTTGGGCAGCGAAAAGTGGCAACATAGCAACTGCACGGCTCTCACTCAAAGCGAGGCTCCCGGAGAAAACATACCACAAAAGATGGGAGTACTTGTATGTAGCTACATTACGAAATCAACAAGCCATAGTGCGCCTGTTGCTGGAGCATGGCATTGATCCCAATCGGGTTGCCTACTGGGACACTGAGGCGAAAGCCTCCAGCGAAGCCTGGAATGACGACAGTATCAACCTGGTCGAGGAAGCCACGCGCGTGGGCTCTGAGCCAATTGTCAAATTATTACTTGATCATGGGGCGGTTACTGACCGTCTAACATTCAAGGCAATGCTGACTTACACAGTGAGGCGAGGGCACCTTGGTATCACCAAACTTCTTATGGAGAATGGATGTGGTCTTGGGTCGATCGACCTTGGTGAACAGCAGGATGCTCTATGCAAAGCAATCAAGGCAGGATCCACCAGTGTGGTTCGGTTCCTGCTTGAAAAAGGAGTTTTCCCCGAGATACAGCCCGAGATACAGCCCGAGATACAGCCCGTGATACGGCCGCCAGGTCGGTCATCCATGGCTCTCGCCGCTTGCCTACGCGATCCAGAGATAGCCAAGATGCTACTTGCCCATGGGGCGAATCCATTCCCCGAGGAACCGGCCGGCATCAATGTCCTCCCACTGGCAAATGCTTCCACTTTGGAAAACTATGCTGTGGCTCAGCTCCTCCGTGAATCCACCGATCTGCAGGAGATGATCAGATCGAGAGGCCGGAACCAAGAATTGCTTTTGTTGTCCGCTGCTGCCTGTGGATGGGACGACATGGTAGAACAAATCCTCGGCCAGAGCTGTCCAGTGGATACAATCGCAGCTATTCCGTACCCGTTCTTTTCAACCAAAAGTTCCGGCCTCTTCAGAGAGCGTCTCCCAGCTATATCGCTCGCAGCCGGTCGAGGTCACTATAGCACTGTGCAGCTACTGCTTTCTTATAACGCAAGCTACAACCCCCCGTCGAAATACGAAGAACCCTTCCCGCTTCTCCATGCAGTTGCATCAGGGCACCTGGATATTGTGGAGCTTCTCCTCAACCACGGCGCAGAGCCAAATGGTATAGGACGATGGCACTGCTGTCAAAAGGAGGTCGGTGACCTGCCGTGCATCTATTGGGCTGTAAAATACCCAGATATCTTCGGCCTCCTGCTTAATCGAGGTGCGGATCTATTGCTGCCAGCAGCAAAAGCCAGAATCAGAACCGAGCGGGATCCAGAGACCGATGCGATTACCGTAATCCATCATATGCCTGGGGGCACAGGACGAATGGTGACAGAACCCATAAGTACATTTGTCATTCAGAATGCCATCGAAACCGGTTGTACCGAAGCAGTCCAAATCCTCCTAGAGAGAGGCATACCATTGCCAACCATTGGCGCTGACCATTGGGATCGCAAGTCCTTCCTAGTAGCGGTAATGAACGGGGGTGAAGCAATGGCAAGACTTGTCTTGGACCATGGACTGAACGTTTCTCCAGGAGGCCGAGATGCCGAGGAAGCCATACATCTTGCTGTCCTTAGCGCACGTTTCCCAGTGTTTAAGCTCCTGCTGGACAGAGGATTGTTGAATTCTCCATCTGCTTCCCCAGGAGATCGAAACATATTAGGAATGGCGATACCCACGTCTCCAACGCCGAAGACAGATACAACTACCGGTGTAACTACTTCGGATCTGCCCCCAGAAGACGGCGCATACAGCGAACTGAGAAACTCACCTCTAGAAAAGTCGCCTCTTGATCATCTGATCAAGACTGGGGTTGCACCAGGTCCAGGCAATACGGACATTTTCGTTCAGTTTTTGTTGGAACAAGGTGCAGAACCCCTTGCAGGGTCTTCTGTCTTTCAGACTCCATTGGCAATAGCTACAGAACGAGGATATTACCATCTCGTTTGGCTTATGCTGAGAGTCATTGATAGACAGACTATCACGCAGAAGGAGCTCATACTTAAACTTGGCGCGCTTTTTATACCGGAAACACCAGATGTAACGGTCGGTAAACGACTTGCCGCATACTACGCTAAGCGGACTAGAAATCTCTACAGAAAGTGAGTTCGGGGTTGGGAACTAGATTGTATTCATGACTACTGTGTCGTTTTCCTAGGCTAGCATTGGCTATGAATCTTGTTTGAATGGATATGATGGCCAATTGTACCGTGAGTATGTATCAAGTTAAAGTTGATAATGGCAACGTGATGAGCAATGTAAGATGGGATACGAAATAGGGGTGAACAAGGTCAATACAGTTCTATTCTTGTCATAGTCCATACAACAAACATAGTGGATTGGCAATCCTTCAGTGCAATGATTATCGCCCTACGATAATAGTATATACACGGCTTATGTGTCATATATTCTTTGGATTGTGTATCAACACTATGCCTGATCCCTTGCTGAACAATGTAGTGGATCTCACTACATCGTGTATTGTGAGGGTGGCGTATAAGAGGGGAATGCGAGACAGGAACATGGAAGAGACCAAATCATTAAAACTAATAGTAGCGATTATATACTGTGAAGCTAATTGTACTCGAGAGTCACTCAGAGCATACGAGAATCGTATGTCCTCGTTGTACTTGAGTGTCGACAACCAGTGGAACTGTTGCCACGAAGGGGTTCATGGAGATGTGGATCTAACATAGTCGAATCCCTAGGTGAACCAACACAACAATTCCAATCGGATGTTACTGGCCCCTCAAAGGATGGTTAAGAGGCGTGGGACCTTTCAGCAGCGCCCGTCCAGCGCCAGCTAGACCGAAGTCCAGCCGTCACCGACGAGTGCTGACACAGATTAAAACGCCGTTTCTTCATCTTGGATTTAGTTGTGTGAAGAAGAAAAGGAGGGGAAAATTTTGCCGAGCGAAGATAAACCACCAGCTGGCGCACGGACCAGGCGGAGAGCTCGAACGGGAATAGTGCATTTTTCCCGCTTTCCGCGGGCAACGGAAAGGTGCCAGTGCTCGTCCGACTAGCATCAGTTGTTTAAAAGCCGTCGCTTTCCTATCGGGCTAAGTACATAATACCCTGCTTGAGAATTGACCTTCTTCAGCTTCATCATGTATTTGTCTCGCTGTGGTAGATCTGCTGCTCGCTTGCTCCCCCTTGGGAGCTCCCGGGCAGCCGTTGTCTCCGCTCGCGCCTCTATCGTGCCCAGATTGGCCCAATCGCGGGGAGTAGCGTCGTCCACTCGCGATACGCAGCACAAGGTTGGTGGCCGGAATCGATTCAATGGCAAGCGAAATATGCAGACTGACCATTTGATAGCTGCTCGCGGCCTCTCTGGAGGAGTCCGACCCCGCCGTTTATAGCATTCTGCAGAAGGTGCGTCATTGCTGATAGAGAGCTCACCAATTGACCGACCAGCTGCTAAAACCATTCCAGGAGAAAAAACGTCAAAAGCACTTCATTAACCTGATCCCCTCCGAGAATTTCACATCGCAAGCTGTTCTCGATGCCCTAGGCAGTGTTATGCAAAGTATGTACTCCTGGTGACCGCCTCTACTTGTCCGACAGACCATTCTAACCGCAACTCAGACAAATATTCCGAGGGATACCCCGGTGCTCGTTACTATGGAGGAAACGAACACATTGATGCCTCCGAGCGGTTGTGCCAGCAGCGTGCCCTGGAGACCTTCCGCCTGAACCCGGAGGAATGGGGAGTGAACGTTCAACGTATGATACAGTCGACGTGGTTCAATGTTATATGCGAAGGCTAACTCACCCCAGCTCTGTCCGGTTCACCCGCTAATCTCATGGCCTACTCCGCCCTCCTCAACACCCACGACCGCCTCATGGGCTTGGACCTTCCCCACGGTGGCCACCTGTCCCACGGTTATCAGACCCCTACCAAGAAGATTTCCGCCATCTCCAAATACTTCGAAACCTTCCCCTACCGCCTCGATGAGTCGACTGGTCTGATCGATTACGATGCATTGGAGAAGTCCGCCACCCTATACCGGCCCAAGCTGATTATCGCGGGTACCTCGGCCTACAGCCGTCTGATTGACTACCCCCGCATGCGCGCGATCGCCGACTCCGTGGGCGCCTACTTGCTGTCCGATATGGCCCACATTTCGGGTCTTGTGGCTGCCGACGTGCTCCCCTCTCCCTTCCCCTACTCAGATGTCGTGACCACTACCACCCACAAGTCTCTGCGTGGCCCGCGTGGCGCTATGATCTTCTACCGCAAGGGTGTGCGCAGCACTGATAAGAAGGGCAACCCTGTCATGTACGATCTCGAGAACCCCATCAACGCATCCGTCTTCCCCGGCCACCAGGGTGGCCCCCACAACCACACTATCACCGCGCTGGCCGTGGCCCTCAAGCAGGCTCAGACGCCCGACTTCGAGGCCTACCAGAAGACAGTACTTCTCAACGCCTCTGCTCTAGCCGAGCGCCTAGGTGCTTCCACCAGCAACGGTGGACTCGGCTACAACATCGTGTCCGGTGGCACCGATAACCACCTGGTGCTAGTGGACCTAAAGAACCGTGGCGTGGACGGTGCTCGCGTTGAGCGCGTTCTCGAGCTGTGCGGTGTCGCTAGTAACAAGAACACTGTGCCCGGTGACAAGTCCGCCCTCAAGCCCGGCGGTCTGCGTCTGGGAACCCCGGCCATGACCTCCCGTGGCTTCCAGCCCGAGGACTTCACCCGCGTCGCCGATATCGTCGATCGTGCGGTCACCATCACCCAGAAGCTGGACAAGGCTGCCCGTGAGTCGGCTCAGTCCCGCGGTGTCAAGAACCCTAATACTGTCAGGGCCTTCTTGGAGTATGTGGGTGAGGGTGAGGAGATCTCGGAGATTATTGTGCTCCGCCAAGAGGTCGAGGACTGGGTTGGTACCTTCAGCTTGCCGTGGGCTGAGGACCAGTAGATGTTTTCTTTTTTTGATTCCCTCTGTATATTTCCTTGCATGATTTCGAAAACGAATATGATTGAAAGACTTTTTTTAAATTTTTTTTATTTAAGACCTAGAAACGAGCAAGTTCAAAAATAAACTTGCCTGATAAATATGCTAGAATATACCAAGTTCCAAAGGATAATAAAAAGGCGGATTTTACTCCGCAAAGTCTAATTCGGGACGGAAACCGGGGACCGATCCATGGATGTCATCATCTTTCCCCGAGATCGGCTTGTCAGATTAAATTTTTGTACTGCGAGGTACGACATACTGCTCTCTTCATTTAAAGCAAGGCTATTCCACCTACAATCATGAAAGTCAGCCAGGTACGAACACAGAAATACGAAGAAGACGTGAAACAGAACACTAACCCACCATCAGCTCTACGTCTACCCGATTAAATCCCTCCGACCAACAACAATCACAGAGGGAATCCTAACCACACGCGGCTTTCAATATGACCGCCACTTCATGCTCCTCAAAGTCATCCCAGCCGAGGATGGCTCCGGCACCACGACCTTGAAGAACATGCATGTCCCGCACTTCCCAGAGATGGCCCTCTTCCACACCGACATCGAGTATCCGCAGACAGAAAAGGACGGCGGGAAATTAAATATCACATACCACCCTCCTCTGTCAGACGCAGCTCCCAAACCCCGCGAAACCAATCGACTGGAAATCCCACTCCAGCCCAACACAAAAAGCCTCAGCCCTCTCAAAATTGTAATGCACAAGAGCCCGACAACAGGATACAACATGGGCACAGAGTACAACGACTGGTTCAGCGCCTGCTTCGGGTACCCCGTAGTCCTAGCCTACCTTGGACCGCACTCAAGAGAGGTGCTTGGCACACTTGCGCCGGCAAAGCGAGACAAAAAGACCGCATTGCGCACAATACGCGAAAGTCTAACAAGATCCAACAGGAAATGGGAGCGGGTCCTCCCGATTCTCATTATAGCATCCGCGATCAACATACTCCTTCAGGGTGGTACTCTCGTCCGCGACGGGATAACTCCCCAAACAGCTCGCAGTCTCACGCCCACGCTCCTTTTCACTGTTAGTGCGGCGGTGCTATATTACTTTTACATACTGTACGCACAGCACGAGGACCGCATTACCTTTGCAGACTGTGCGCCTTATTTGGTTATCTCTGAGACATCCGTTGATAATGTCTCAGCGCGGCTGCCGGACGGGGAAAACATGGACCGCACGAAGTTCCGGCCTAATATTGTTGTTTCGGGGGCTGGGGAGGCTTTCGAAGAGGACTTTTGGGGTGCTCTGACTGTGGGCGCTGGATTAGGGCGTGGGTCGAGTAGGCTGTTGTTGACGGGAAATTGCGTACGCTGTCAGAGCCTTAATGTCGATTACGAGACTGGGAAGATGGGGACTGGTGAGTCTGGTGCTGTGCTTAAGAAGTTGATGAAGGATCGCAGGGTGGATTCAGGGGCGAAGTTTAGTCCTGTCTTTGGTAGGTATGCTTTCTTGGAGCCGAAGGGTGAGGGGATTAGTCTGAGGGTTGGGGATGAGGTTGCGGTTGCTGAGAAAGGAACTAGGAGGTCTATTTTTGGTGAGTGTTTCTTCTTTTTTTTCCTGCAGGATTTTGGAAGCGAATACTAATTTTGTTCTTTAGATTGGCCTGGCATGACGAATTGAACATCGATATGGACATCTCGGTATTGTGTACATAGATATCGGGGGAATTGACGTCATGTTGGAGGTTTGAATTACAATAGACAGCTTTCGGGCAGAATTTTCATCCTAGAACAATTGTAACTGGTTTGCTAGTCTTAATAATGAGAGAGTACTGACTACTCTTCTTATATTTCTATGCATCAAACTATGTAGATCGTACAACATAGCTGAAACCCGAGTGAGAAGCGTAAGAAAGCATTTTCATTGGCGAATAACTACTCAGCCACAGTTACGTCATAAACAGACACCGCCACTAATTGCCCCAGGTAGTCACCTGACTTTCTTGAACCATGGAAAAGCAAACTGAAAGTGGACTTGGATTCGGTTTCTAAGAATAACTTGCAATACCTAGGTAACCTTGAAGTCCAGTTTCGTTCTTCCCGATTTTATTCAGTGACTCGTTCGACTCATCTTATACATTTGCGTTGTGGTCAAGCCAGAGTCCAGCCTTACCGAACTATTCAGGGACTGTGGCTCAAGCCCCTCCAATCATCACTCATACGCCGCTGCCTATTTGGAGTCCACACTAAACTGCGACTCTCACGTTGAACTGTCACGCACCCAGCCAGAGCTGCATTCGACTTGTGTTTCACCTGTGTGACGCTTCTACCTCTTTCCAAGACCTGATCGGTCAGGCGCCAATTATCCCGCGATCCGGTGCATAAGGCATCGCTGAGCCCCGCCGCGGGTAAGCTGCCGCAGCAGAAAAAAAAAGAGCGATCGTAATCGTTCCAAAACATAACTGTTACAGTCGCCATGGATCCAGCCAATCTGCGCCGCAAGGACACCACCAAGGGTCCTCCGCTGCGGATTCTGTCGCTAGGTCAGTATTATCTCTCTTCCCGGCGTATATCAGACTCAGCTGACCTGAACAGATGGCGGTGGTGTTCGTGGCTACTCCATGCTTATTCTCCTCCAGGAACTCATGTACCGAACTTATGTTGAATGCGAAGGCAAGCCTCCGCGTCGAGACCAGATTCCCAAACCCTGCGATCACTTCGACTTGATCGCCGGTACCGGCACCGGCGGCTTGATCGCCCTGATGCTCGGTCGCCTCCGCCTGGACCTCGAGACTTGCAAAGAAGTATACGTGCGCATGACTCGCAAAGTATTTGAGACCGATAAGACCATCGCTGGTATTCCCTACCGCTCGACTTTGTTTAAGGCCTCGAAGCTCGAGGAGGCGATCCGGGAATGTGTGCGGGAACATACAGTGTTCGAGGCGGAGGGAAATGACACGGGGAATGCCCCCAATCGTGATTCTATGGCTTCTATGGCAAGCTTGCCATACAGCCCAGCCTCTATTCCGCAACGCTCTATTAGTCGGGGCAGTTTCAGCACCGCTGCTGCTTCACATCCAATGTCCCCGACAAGCCAAAGAGGCTCCGTTTTTCTTAATGGGTTGCGTTGGGGTAATCCAGACGCACTGCTTTATGATAACCGAGAAAATCGGACGAAAACGTGAGTTCTACCATGCGAAAATATGGGTTGCTGGTACTGATATGAAATATAGTGCGGTTACTGCTATGTACAAGGGCACCCCACGCAAAGGATCGGCTGTCCTTCTACGGTCCTACGACTCCCGCCGAGAACCTCCTCCAGAATTCGACTGCACTGTCTGGCAAGCAGGACGTGCGACATCTGCGACGGGGCTTGCTTTCAAGCCCATCCAGATTGGTCAACACCATTTTATTGATGAAGGTCATGGTACATTCAACCCCGCGCCGCTGATCCTTGATGAGGCTGTTGTGAATGAGTGGCCAGGTCGGGACGTTGGGGTCTTTATCAGTGTGGGAACTGGAAAGCGCCCAGCTGGTACCAATAACCGACAACATGAATGGTGGGAGGATTTCTTCGGTGACTCGTTGGGCACATTTGCTGAAGCGCGGCGTCGACTGATGACGAAGATTGAGGGCTGCGAGGATATCCACAATGATATGCTTCGAGACCGTCTTGCTAAACGTAATGTCAGCAAAGACAATTATTTCCGCCTCAACGTCGAGGTCGGCGTTGGCGAGTTTGGTATGAACGAATGGAACCGGCTAGCCGATATCAGCACCAACACACGGCAGTATCTCGCCAGACCTGAAGTCAAGAAGATGATTCTAGAAGCAGGTGTGAGATTTGCTAAGATCGATCGCATGAACCGCCGTCTGGCGAGCCACGCTGCAGCTGGTGGGGATCGCGACGACCTCTCTTTTGATCTTGAGAATGAAGAGCTTTCGCTTTCTCCTCCCGTCCAATCACATGTTCCACCCCCTGCGCACTTCGCTGTCGAACTACCTGCGGAATTACCTGCGGGGTATGACTTTGCACACCACCCTCCACCTTCACAAGCACCGCCACCTATTCCAACCGTAGTGACTACATCGCCAACGGAGGACACGCTCCCGGTTCACCCAACACCTCAGGATAGCATATCTATTTCCTCACCTCGGCAATCTGGCAGTGATTATCGTCGAAGCCACGAGCTTGCAAGCCGACCAAGCTCGCAACAACAGAGCTCGCCCTCCCGCAGTGATGAGTATTTTGCAACCTTAAATGGTATGGCACCACCAGTGCCACCCAAGACGCCCATCCCATACCCAGCTCAAGAAGACGACGGTGGGGTGGCTATGCCCGCACCGCTATTCTCCCAAGCACCATCCTCTACCTCCAACACGAAAGTCCGACCTCCTTACCCAGTTGATGAGCCGCCACCAACGGTGAACCGGCAACGCAAGCCTAGCTACCATGTGCGGTGATCCCTTCTCACGTGCTTGCATCTCAAGACTTTTTTTTCTTTTCGTTTTTACATGTGCATTACGTTATTTTTGTGTCTTTCCTGCTGAATACCCCTCTGTTGAGACGGTTGATTAAGGCTGAGGGGGCGTCTTGGGCGCATGCAATCCTATTTATGGTTTTTTTATCTTAGTTGAACCCCTACGAAAGATGGCCAGTGCTGGCCTCGATTGGGGCGTAATGAATGACGACATTTATGAGACTTGAAATGTGGGAATTGATGGTCTGTATAGTAATTATGTGAGGAAAAAAAAAAACAAGCATGGCACTTTCATCTACAAATATGCATGTACAATGTAGTTAGGGGCAAGTAAATTGCCCTGATCTTAATATTATAAGGGCAGATTCACCACATAAACCAAGCAATATAGGCCGATGCCAAAAAGGTCCAGGTACCTGCGGATCGTAGTCTTAATTTGTCTAAACCTTGGAACTCGCCGCCACGAGTACCAGCACCTCCTTTCCCCACATAGCCCAGCCTCTTGTCTTAGGTACATCTCGATTCCCCCTTCCCCTTCCCCTTTACTTTATTTTCTTAATATAATTTTTTTTTTCTTCCGATTCTTCATTCTTTGTCTTAAGTAGATTCTACTTCCTTTGATAATCCTAAAACCTGATTGCCATTTGAGTGCCAGAGTCATAGCGCCAACGGCTGACGTTCCCCCCCTTGCGGAATCCCACATTTTTCCTTCCCTCGTGGACAATTTTCCAGAAGCATTCCCCGATCGCTAATACTAAATTACAATTATTCATTATTTCCCTATCACAAGAGTTGTTGTGATACCCAAACTCGGCACCGTTGTTGACACCCCTCGTTGATAATCGCCCCGGCGATACGCCCAGTCTTTATCGATATCGTGGCAGCGTCACCAAGTGTTTCAAATAGTCGCTGAGTCTCGTCTTCGGACGTACTCTCTGCCCACGCGACACAACTCCTCGCCTCTTCCCACTGCTGGCCAGTGTGGTTTTAATCTCCAACCTCCACAATCATGGATCCCAATACCGCCTTATCACATGCAAACGACCTCATCGCGCGCGCAGAATCCTCAGGCCGCCCGCCAGTGTACAAGGCCGTCGGTGTTTCGCTGGCTGTCGCATCGGGCGTCTTCATCGGTATCTCGTTCGTGGTTAAGAAAATCGGGCTGCTGAAGGCGAACGTGAAGTACAATGAGGAGGCTGGTGAGGGATATGGATATCTGAAGAATTTCTGGTGGTGGACTGGCATGACGTTGATGATTGTTGGAGAGATCTGCAACTTTGTGGCGTATGCATTCGTCGACGCGATTTTGGTTACGCCGCTTGGAGCGCTATCGGTTGTGATTACGACGATTCTGTCAGCGATTTTCCTCAAGGAACGGCTTAGTTTCGTGGGGAAGGTTGGCTGTTTCTGTTGTATCATTGGATCGGTGACTATTGCGATGAATGCGCCTGAGCAGTCGTCTGTTAAGGATATTCAGAGCATGCAGCATTTTGTTATTCAGCCTGGGTTTCTGGTCTATGCTGGACTGATCATTATTGGAGCTGCTTTTACGGCTCTTTGGGTTGGTCCACGCTATGGAAAGTCGAGCATGTTTGTTTATATCAGTATTTGCAGCATGGTTGGTGGGTTGAGTGTCGTTGCTACCCAGGGCTTGGGGTCTGCTATTCTCGCTCAGATTAATGGCGAGGAGCAGTTCAAGCATTGGTTCCTCTATGTCTTGTTTGTGTTTGTTATCGGAACACTACTGACTGAGATTATTTATCTCAATGTACGTCTTCACTCTCCTCGTGTCTCATGCCTATACTAACCCTGCCATACAGAAAGCGCTTAACCTTTTCAATGCCGCTCTGGTCACCCCGACTTACTATGTGATGTTCACTAGCGCCACCATTATCACTTCCGCCATTCTGTTCCAGGGCTTCAAGGGCACAGGAATCCAGATTGCAACCGTGATCATTGGATTCATGCAAATCTGTGCCGGTGTGGTATTGCTGCAGCTATCCAAGTCCGCCAAGGACGTCCCCGATGCTGCTATTTTCAAGGGCGATCTGGATCAGATCCGGGAGGTTGCCGAGGTAGAAGAGCCCGAGTCTGAGCCCAAGGCAGACTCGATTCGTGGTGCGGCCTCTATCATCCGTCGCATTTCAACTGCTCGCCGGACTATGGAGACAGATGAAGCTCGCCGTTTCTTCCATGACAAGCATGAAGATACCCTGAAAGTGCCAGGCGAGAATGAGATAATTGAATGGGATGGCCTGCGCCGGCGCAAGACTATCATTGGCGGGGGACCAACTATGTCACGACCAATCACCCCGCGAACACCCTCGGTCAAACAACAACACCCACCGTGGGGCATGTCCCGGTTGCCCGCTGAAGAGCATGAGGAGAACCACCGACCTAACACCAAGCAAAGCGGTCATTCTTTCATGGATAGCATTCGGTCTCGGGCTACCAGCGTGCTTCATCCTTCCCAGTGGAAGGCTGTAAATACAGAAGACGAGAAAAGTTCTAACGCCAACACACATTCGGTGGGAATGACAGACATGGCACATCAAAGTGGTAATGCTGACACCGAATACCATGGTGCCGGTATGACTGGAGCTTTGGAGGCTCCGTTCCACGCAAACCGTCCGCGTAGTGATACGCCGCGGTCTATATCATGGGCAGACGAAAAGCCCGAATCTCTGGCACCCGAGCCTCTCGCCAACCCTGCCCGCCGCCAGTTCTCTTTTAACAACATGATGGGCCGTACGAAGACCGACAGCGAATCTTCCGTCAAACCCACACCAGGTTCGCCGCCCCGTGGCATCCTACGCCGAACGCACCTAGCACCCGATTTGCGCAGGGACGCAACCGAGGAAGAATCACTCGGTCTCGTTCACGGCGACTCACGTCGTTCACAACCAGAAGAAGAACTCCTGAACGAGAAGCTAGACCGCTGGTCGAGCGGCGAGTCAGAACTTGGCGAGCCCCAGCCCATGTTCGCAGGCCGATCACACGGCAACTCCGTGTCCAGCAACATTTCCACTGCCGCATTTCCAGCCTACGAGGATAATCACCACGACTACTCCGAGCCCAACAACGCCAACAACCCTTACTACCTCCCGCACAACCGACAAACCACCTCGTCCCCAGAACTCATCTCCCATGGAGAAGAGGGCTGGAAACACCATTCCTCGAGGGGCAGCGGCAGCAGAACTCGCACACGGACAACCTCTTCTGTCCACGCCCATTCTCGCGCCCCACCTTTCGCCCAATCATCCTTCTCTACCCACCGCCATCCAAACCCCCTCCCGCCACTTCCTGATACTATCACTCCCACCACTACCCTCGATCTTATGCCTACCGCAACCAATGCGTCGGGCTTGAGATCAGTTTCTTCGGAATCTGATATGGTAACGACCATCTCTAGCGAGATAGGAGACCACAATGACCCCCCGCCTACCTACCCGACTCGCGAAAAGAGCGGCTGGCGTCGGCATATGTCTGATAACAGCAGCCATGACGGCGATACATATTCCGCGCGGGGAGATAGGGGAAGTTCGTTCAGGTGAATGTGAGAAAGCTTCGCGATCTATCTGGCTTATATAACCATCTTGGATTCTAATATATGACGCATATACCCTGTTTTCTTTCTCACATAGTATTATGCATGGCTATGGCGCTTATTGGGGGATGTTGTTGATATTTTGTTGATATTTCTCTTCTTTCCTGTTTTTTTTTTTCTGACTGTTTGTGTTCTGTGATCGAACCCGGTTTTATTACCGGCCTGTACATGTCATTTTGATTTTGATCTTGATTCTGTATATAATGGATGTTATTATAATGGTGCATGATTGATTAATGAAATGAGAACTTCAAGTACAAGCAAGTGTCATGTCGAAAGTAGAGTACTGGAAGTCAACATTCATCGTACGTTATATTGGCAACGGTAGGGCATTAGCCAACTAAACGAGAGAAATTTCAAAGCAGATGTTTCATAGTCATGACGATCAGATTAGATTCGATGTGATCATAGATCAATGGGTATCATAAGTGCGCGTAGTTGGAAGATTCATCATCCCAACCCAAAAAAAACCATGACGCTATTCTATCCAGAACGCCATCCGTGGCAAAATGCCATATGCATTGCAAACCAAAAAAAGAAGCAAGTCGTCAAATGTAAACCATATTCACGTAAAAGAAGATTACTTCTTCACCCCCTGTACACCAAACATCCCAGCAACACTCCGCTGCCCCTTAGCCGCAACATACATACCAGGAAACCGGGACTCCGCAAGACGACGTCCAGCTTTGATACTCTCGAGAGCCCTATTGATAACAAACTCAACGTCAGAAAAGATCCCTCGCCGGTCATTCAACATCATGATAGTACATACCAGTCCACACTAACAACCTTCACACATTTCCAACCCCCACGGGCAATTTCCTGCTGGAGCTTACTCGCAGCAAGGCCTCCTCCTGCACCAGACACAGCTGTTCCACTCGCAGCCCCGGTATTGGGTTGTCCGACGAGAACATGCGTCACCGTCTTCCGAGCTATGTAGATAGAAGTCTTGGCTCCGTTCGACGCGAGTAGGTGTTTGAGTTTGTACTCCGAGATCTGGGGGAGAGTAGAGCCATTGATGAAGATCGTAACGCCGGCGAAGATACGCGAAGTGGATTTCAGATCGAGGCTGGCGTCAGAGCGGGATTCGGGTTGGGGGGTGTCTTCTATTTGAGGCTTTTCCTCTTCCTTTTCCTTTTGCTTGTCCATTTCCTTCGCATCTCGAGCCGGACTCAGACTCCGGTTCCCTCCAACAACACTCTTAATCTTCTTCGTTTCCGCCTTGGTATCCTTCTCAGGCTCATCGACAGCCTTCCTCTTGCTAACACCCATAAACGATCGAATATCCCGAACACCGAGTTCATTCCGCCTCGCCACATCCCCAGCTACCATCGCCCATTCACCGGAAGCGGGTATTTTAGGCGGCGACTGTGTCGCGCATTTCCCATCGAAGGCACCGGGTACGAGCGTGGACTCTTGCGTTGCTGTATTCCGCACTCCACCTCCCAGTACCAGTCCCATTCCCAATCCCTTTCCCCGCCCTGGAAGACAATCCCCACTTCGATACTGCCTGGTCAATTTCGCCGAGCGCGCATTTCGCCAAGATGTTGAGCCGAGGAAACCGCCGCCTTCGGCTGCGCGCTGGTGCCCTGTTGAGGCTGACTGCCAGGGGTCGACATGGAGGTGGTTTCGGGGTTCTGAGGGTTGGGGTTTTGCGGGTGGTTTTGGTCTGTCGGTTGTCATGGTTGGGTCTTGCGGGTTTGTAGCGGGGGTTTCTATTCGTTATTTGAGGTGTCACGTTGGCTCGGGGTGAGGTGTTCTGGGATGTGGCTGTGTTTGACTTGAAATTTGGCAAGAAGTCGCCATGGCGTGAAGAGGAATGAACCATGGTTCGGATGTGTTTTGATTTTGCTGTTTTGGGTTAGATAGGGTATATCCAGTCACGTGATGGTAGTATGTGTCCAAAGTAGAACATTTGAATGCAATGAGGCCTAAGACAAGCCGGTGGCTATCTCTCTACATCTGATCACATCTACAAGCTAGAGAAAAGACACCAAAGTCGGAAAAAGAACAATCCATTTAGACAGGACAAAACCAACGTTGTATGTCGCTAAAGGCATGCAGACCCAGAGTTCATAACCGTTCATTACCATGATAATCATCTCTCTAGTAGAGTGGCAGTAGCAAAAGCAGAAGCAATAGCAACGCAGAGAAGTAGAGAGGCGAGTAAAACCAGAGCCAAGGCCATGCCACAAAGAATATCCTTTTCAAACCCCAGAACACGCAGACATAAATGATAAAGCATCAATGACAAAAAGAAAAGAAAAGAAAAAAAACAACTCGTTAATGAAGATGGCTCGTGGTCAAGTCATCACACAAAGAAAATTCGTTCATAAGAAATTCGTCAAAATCGTAGTCATCGAGGTTTGCGATCACTATCCAAGTCTTTCAACAAGTGACAAGTCTTTCAACATGGAAGTATCAAGAAATGTTTCTCTAATGTTGGACCGTGAACAGATCTTGCGGCCTAGTTCTTCCCCCTCTCCCCACACAAGTTAGATATTCTCGGAAATAGAGATTTCATCAACTTGAAAACATAAACAAACGCAGAGAGACAAATGAACTTCGTTTCGTTTCGACACCGGGTCTACCGGTCTCCACATGTTCGTGGTAAGACGCAGACGAGACCGCGGCGCGCCATGCGGGTTGTGCATGCGCAGTCTATCATGAAAAACAAACTCCGACCGAGAAATAGACCAATAGATAATAAAAAAAATCCAAAAACCAAATAAGACCAGAAGAGAACCAAGACAAGAACTGGAACGACAAGCTGATAGCTAGCTAGAAGTCACAACTGAATCACACACACACTCACCGATGACGAGCCATGACCCCACTAGGCTTCATCGGCTGAAGAATAGGTGGGCCACCGACCGGACCACCGAGAGTAGAATCGGTGATCGTCTTGCGGCGCTTCGAGGTCTCGTACTCAGCGGAACTCTCGGGGCGGATATCGTCGTCCTCGCGCATGCGCTTGCTGCCCGCACTCAACGAGCCATTTCCAGCCGGGTAGACCGGGGCCGTGGTCGAGGCCATGGAGTAAGGGTCCGAAGCACCGTTGGCCGGGGTACCGCGCGTATCACTGACAGCGTTGTACAGGGTAGTGGCGGCAGCGGGACGAGGAGGGGTGTTATACCCCGAAGCCCAGTGGGGAGGCGGGCCGGCGCCCGTGCGCGGAGTCATGCGACCGGAGCCGTTTTGCTGGCTCGGGGAGCTGGTCATCTCCGGGGTGAGCTGGGAGTGCTCGCCGGTCAGAGAGCTGACGGAGGGGTTTGTGGTGTAGGTGTAGGAGCCGCGGTTGGAGTTGTAGCCGGCGTTGTGGTCTTGCATGTACTCCTGGTCGTGCTCGGCGACGGGCTCGCCGGGCCCATTGCTCTGGCTGTAGCGGTTTGAGTCGCGCTCGGAGGTTTCGGGCTCTGAGGCACCGGGGCGAGGGTTTGGTGGCGCCATCTCGCTTTTCATGTACCCACCGGGCAAGGGTTGGCCGTAGCTGGACATCCCTGAATTGGTCAATGGGGTGTGCGGCGCGTATTGGGCATGCGTTTGTGGTGCCGCGGAGTAGTAGGGCTTGGAGCTGTCGTAGCCTCCCTGGCCTTGGTAGGCAGGCAAGCCGTGCATGTTGTTACCCGGCGGGGTGGTTGCGGGGGTGGTTGGCATTGAGCGCTGGTTGCTCAATGTGGTGTCAATGGACAGGGGCTGTGTGTGTGGCACTTGTCCGCCCCATTCGTATGAACTGCCTTGATTGGTGACGCCCATCAGGCTGGATGCGCTGGCTGGCGGTGTGGGAAAGGTGTTGGCACGCTCGAGGCCTGGTCTGGAGCCAGGCTGGCCACTCATTGGGCCTTGGGACATATGAGAAGACATGGGCGTCTGCAGAGAGGGGTGGTGATGGTGAATCGGGGGTTGCTGAGAGCCAGATGGAGTGCGCTGGGGACCCGGAGGAGGGCCTTCCAAACGTCGCTGCTGGGACTCTTGCACTACCATGTTTGTCCGAGTCTGGTTGGCCGGGTGGTATAGAAGACCACCGATATTATGCACAAAGAGTGGGTACAAGAGATCGGTGATCTTCTCCTTGTTGGCAAATTCCAGAGCACGCTCAAATGGGATCCTGAAGAGCAAAGAGTTAGCGACTGATGCTGTGCATGCTCTGCGATCAAAATACATACCAGACACCTTTCAAATGCATCGGACCAATTTTCACAACATGGCGAAGCTTTTCGCTTTTGAGAATTCCATCACGTCGACCACGGGTCATGCCAGCTACATTTAGCAGCTTTGTACCATTGATCATGTGGTTGTCTGCAAAACAACAAGTCAGTAAAAAGAAAAAAACATATTTCCAATTGAGCTTTTGCCAACAGAATCAACTTACCCTCTCGACGAGCTACACACACTCCCTTCGCTTCCACCTGGTAGCAGAGGCTCCCCTCATCTTCCCATAATGTGGCTGTCACTCGGGGCTTTGCTCCCGGAGGGGCAACTTGACCGGTACCATCAAAGACGAACCCTTGTAGCGGAGCACCAGTGTTGTTCCCATACCCACTCGGAGGTGCCACATTGTGATTGCTCACTTGATAACGATCAGAATAATCATCGATCACGTTCTGGCTTTGGAGCTTACCAGGCAACGGCAGCAACTGAGCCGGCATCTGGCCACCCATAGAGCTTGGTGGGTGTCCCGTTGGGGGTGAGGTAACGCCAGGGGCGTATCCATATTGGGGGTAAGCAGCCGGGGCGTAAGAAGAGGCGGGCTGCATCACAGGGGGTTGCCCGTGGTACTGATAGTGGGACATTGCACCTGCGGTTGCGCCTTGAGGAGCGTATGACTGAGCAGAAGACATGTGCGAGTGGACATCCATATACTGCTGGGTCTGGTTCATGCTGCCGAGAGAAGTCGGGCTAGGATAGTATCCTTCGTTGACCGAAGGCGGGAGACTGTATTCAGTCGCGGAAGAATCTAGGGAAAGTCGGCCCTGGGTCCCAGACAGGTCCGCAGAGGACGGGGGGCTCCTGGGTTCGTTGACAGGCACGGAGGCACCAGACAGACTCGTGCGAGCGCTAGAGTTGGTGGAATTGGTCACAGACGGATCGTGATAGGCGGTCCGGGAGAGGCCCTGGGTGGCTGTCGGCAGGCTGAGAGCGGGGAGTTTGTCGCCGGGCAATAACGGTCGTTCTGCCGCGTGATGGTTGTACCAGGGGATGTCAGCAGGACCGCGGGTATGGACCTGCGAGATCGATGGCAGCTCCAGCTTTTCGGTTGCACGGATAAACGGTTTAGAATAGAGGAGGAATGAAGCGAGCAGCGGACGTAAATATCGTCCAGCGTGCTATCAATATAGGCCGCAGAATGGGAAAACCACAGGAACTTGCGAACGTTGCACGGAAAGAAAGAGAAAGAGTTGCAAACGAAATATCCAACTGGCTTTCAGGATCAAACGTTCAGTTGGGGGGAGAAATATATGGCAAGTGATGCAAGATGCAGGCAATGCAGGGGCGTGCAATAATCGTAGTGAAGCTTCGTAGTAAGTCGTAAACCTTTTGTAAAGACTCGGCAGGCCTAGACAGAAGCGCAATAAAGATTTTTTTCTTGGAAAAAGAATTCAGAGAAGCACAATGGTCATCAGAATCATTAACAATCGTCAATCGAACACATCAAAGTTCGGGGAAGCTTCAGCGGAACTAAACAAAAATGCGTAAGTTTTGGGGTCGTTTCAAGATCATGCAGGAATCATGTCATTGAAGAAGAAACTCTCAAATTGGAGCGCATTGGATGATAAAATAAGGCCGAAGCCGGATGAAGGTAGGGGGAGGGAAAGTTCAAAGTCTCAGACAGTCGAGGGATGGGGGGGTTGAGAAGAGAAGTGCGTTAGACGTACAGAAAGGTGGAGGCTGGGGTGGTGCAGCAAACGCATCCCTATGCACTGCAGGCTGGATAGATGGCGTTTGAAAAGGAAACAAATGTATAAAGCAAATAAAATAAAAAATAAAAATGGGGCAAAGGGAAAAGAGACCTTAAAAATAAAACAAGGAAATCGTACAAATCGTACAGTGAAACTTAGGTTAAGAGAGGGGAAAAGAGGTGAAGGCGAAATGACGCTGAGCCGCAGCGGGAAAGTCGATCAGTGGAGGATAAGATGAAGCTGACTAAGGTTTTCAAGAGAAGAAAGAGAAGAATGTTGTCTGCAGAAAATCCCGGCTTGCCCCGTCTTTTGAGGGAGAGACGAAGAAGAGAGAAAAAAGAGAAAGTGAGAGAGAGGCCATCGAATCAATCACAGTGGACCCGGTGGAGAGGAAAGAGAGAGGTGACTACCAGAACCGTGCGTTCAGATCATCCTCTAGACTCGATATCTGCTGTTTTCCTTTTTCTTTTCTATTTTTCTTTTTTCTATTATCTCTTTTTTCTATTTCTTTTTATCTTATTTTCGTTCTTTTTTTGAGGGGGAAAATATTATATATTATTTTCTACGCCACCAAGTAAGGACCATCCGGATCACCAAGAAGTTAAGCGTCAAGGTAGAGAGGTAAATCATTCCCATTATTAACAGCCAAGTAAACAAACCTTGAAAAGTATTAACTGACATTTCCCAATTAGTATAGAAACTGCAGGGACAAGTCAAGAGAAATATTCCCAGCTGAGGATCCTGGTCTGTGTGACAGGCAGAAAAGCAACATGCTGATCGGCCGGGATAGGCCCGCTGGATCTGGGAGCTGATTCCCTTAGTGGAGTCCCCGATCAGATTCAATTAATTTATTACTTTTCTGGAGGTTACTCTGGACTCTGGATACTATTTCTGGCTGGGTGAGACTACAAGAGTTGTTAGAACAATATGCACTGTTTTTAAGTAAGTATATAGAATATATCCTATATAGAAGCCCTGAATGTGTTTCATAAATGCAATAACAGGGCTGGGGCACTTCAGAAATAGCTGAGACGGTTCGTCTCCACGCGCGCGGGTCCCACTCAGTGAACCATGGACGGTCGACCGGGGAGAGGAACGGGGGAAATACATCCACGGTTGAAACGTTAGTGGTTGGAGACCATGGTTAAGATACTAAATTACACCTAAGAATACTAGTAGTACTCCGTATACAGGTACTATATTGTAGGGAAATTGAAATCTCGTCCCGATCGATATCTCTTTCATCGTGCAAGACATCTGTCAGCGGCTGCAGAGAAAAGTGAAAAAAAAAAAAGAAAGGCCCGGTAATGCGCGGCGGCTGCACCGTCGATTGCGGATTGCACTCTCCCGCTTCTGGAGCCAGCGCTTGCACCACCATTTCCCCTCTAATTGGGGTACAGATAATACAGGCTAACACCTGCAAGGTCCATCTTAAAGAAACGGTTAAAATCAATCCCAGCGCCAAAAGAAAAAAGCATTCAAATCACTCACCGGACATCGGCCGAGCCATGTCCCCCTCTCGGATATCTTACTGTTAGAGGGGGCCACCGGTCGATCGCCCCGGGTCCTCAACCTTCAAGTCTGTTCAAAGTCCACCTACGGCTATAGCCGACTCAAGTGGACCACTGCAATGCAATCTATTACAATTATAATACCAAGGCCTTGTTGGCTTGTTTTTTTTTTCTTTCCTTCTTTTTATGGTTCGGGACGATCTGGGCGTTAAGGCGGGCCGTGAGTAACAGTGGAGAGAGAAAGAGGAAAGAAGCACGTCACACTCAGGGATGCAGAGGAGAAAATCAGTGGCTCAGAAGGAACCACGAAATACGGGTGGCTTGAAGTCGATCAAGGGTCTGTTCTCTCTCCAATCCCTGCCAAGTACCACGAAGAGACCAGTAAGAGGGCGTTTTTCCAAAAGAGTCAGTTGAAGAGAATTGAGAAAATTAGAGAAAAAGCAAAAAATAGAAATTAGAACAAAAAAAAGAAAAAAGGAAAAAAAGAAAGAGGGCGTTTAGTCCAGAATTTGTCCAACCACCCAATTTTAGCCCGAATTGAAATGAGATGTTCACACGTAGCATCCCAATCTCAACTGAGCGACCCCGTGATGATGCATCCAGAAACTCCTCTATTTTTTTTCTTTTGACTCTTTCTTGTACGGTTATGGGCGTAGATCATATTGCCTAAGCCTGGAATGGTTCATACCTCTACAATCTACAGAGTATGTACGGAGTACACATGAATAACACCGTTCCCAATAGTCGGGTTAGCCGGGATAATAATCCTCCCCGTAATATAGAGTAATAATAGCAACCTTGGAAATAACATGAGTACTTCTTATTTTATTTTCTATTTTCTTTTCCATCTATTTTTCCAGAGCCCAACAAAAAAAAAGCCCAGAGCCAGATCCCAGTAAGGGGGGGAAGAGCAAAGAGATGAACATCCAGACAACTCAACCCCAGTACACCGCTAATTTCTTCCCAGTATGGAGTAGGGGAAAAAAACATAAGCCCTACTGTTGTAGGGAAAAGGGCAGGGCCAAAGTCCCCTTGCATTTTGCGTGTTTTTCTTTTTAATTACTCCATACATTATTACATAGCACTACCAGTATGTATGTATTCTCCACTAACAGACTAAACTATTCACGGACTTGATTTCCAACCCGAAACTCTCGGTTCAAGGTTGACATATGTCAATTCCCACGCATTCCCAAAAAAAAAACCAAAAGTGACAGCTAGGGATTCGCCCGGTTACTATTTTTTTTTTCAGTCCTACCCTGATATGCATTGACCACCATACATGGACCTAGATTCAATGGTTAATTTATGAGATTTCGGGGAGATCATGATCGGAATACGATTTCCCAGTACCATCAAATTATTTTCCAAGTATTTGCATTCTTTGGTGGGTTCTGCAAGTGGCGCCGGTGACTGTCCCGCCACACAGACCCTTGAGAGGTCGGTGAACATGGGGCCGGGAAAATACGGGCCTCAACTCCAGACCAGTTTGGATCTTCTTCAATGGCATTATTTATTAATATATTTGAAGGTTAAATGCTTGGCACGAGGATCTCTAGTGTCATGCTATGCAATAATCTTCTGCGAACGGGTAAGAATATATATTTACTTGCCGACGTTAGGGCACGAAAGCAGGTACTAACCAGCCTAGTCCACTAGGCCCAGAGAGCTCCGGGAAAATTACGAAAAGAGAAAGAGGGGCCACTACTGACGGATCCCTGCACCGCAGCTCGCTATCGACGGCCCGATACCCGCTGCACATACAGCATACAGTAGTTTAGGGGGGAGGGGGGGGGGAGCATGGGGGAAGGGATCCGCCTGAATCGACATACCAAATCTTTACTGGAAAAGGAAATAGGCCTCCGCGGAGGATTTGAGGGAATGATTAACTAATGATATTGAAAGGAGGGTGGGGTGGGTTAAGACTCGGTTGTGGCTTTTTTTTTATCGCATATTATTCTTCATTGCTTTTGCTTTTTTTTTTTTTAGTACGGAGTACTTTGTAATTATTCCGTTAGTCTCTCCCCGACAGAAATGAAGAAATGCAGAGACGAATTCATCAAAATCAGCTCTAATGAGATCCACTATAAACCCACACAGTTATTGGAACGGCAACTCCGCAATTCGGGTGTGATGCATCGTATCGAACCGTTGAGCCGAAAATGTAAGGGAGATGATCGGTTCTTATATGATAGGTACACCTAGGAGTACCAATAATATGAAGCAAGTATTTGAAATATCAATGTCAATCTTTTCGTAACCTACAGAGTATGGAATAGAAAACAAAAACTAGAATATAATTCATGTGTCAATTCATTTACTGATCGTCCCTCCGGGGTTTTCCGTGCGACTATCAACTCGGTGGATCAACTGTGCTAGAGGTTACATACGGAAACTAGAGGAATCCTTCCAAGGTTAGCGTTTATCCATGACAAGGCTCCCATAGCTAGAACTTCCCACTGTTTACGCCGTCAATCTCGCGTCGATCGACGGGTTCGTCCGTACCTTGCAGCGAGTTACCCTGCAGACTTTGTCCGTGCAGATTTCAGACTTTTCTCATGAGAACAGACCAAGGACTTTCTTTGATTTGTTTTGATTTGTTTTGATATTTTTATTCTCTTTTTCTGGCTTTTTTTCTTCAAGTTATACTATTATCATATTTATATGCGGGGTTTTTTTTGTTTCCTTTTCTGCCCTTCCAGTCTATAATGTTTCACCAGGGGCTGCCATGCTTTCCCCATGCTGTACCTCACACATCACAAGAGGCAGAATATGCCCGAAGCCGTCTGGGCAGACGTTGATGCCAGATAAGGCCGTCAGACTGACGATCGGGGACACACACAATGGGTACAAGGCCTTTGAGAGACATGTGTGGTACAACATAATTACGGAGTACGATTGTCCAGCGTGAGACTCGGACACGAGGAGAATTTGACCGAGAGCCGATGACCTACAGGGATGTTCCCTGCAGACTATTGATGTGTTGTACAGGATGGGGCAAATTAAAAGGCGAATCGACCGAGATAGCCTCCGTATAGCCCCGTTTACGAAGTACTACTGCTACCATAGGTCCACGGTCACCAGAGGTACTTGCCCAAGTAGGTATAGGCGTGGACATTATAACTATACAACATAGTGAGGTACCTACATATACAACCCTGAAACAATATTCTGTGACTCTGCTTTTCATGTGACTTGAGCAATTTAGTGTGAGCCAGACGCCACCCACTTCCCTCGCGCGAATAACAACGCACCACGACGCCAGGATGGATCTGGCGTGATGGAACTAGGCTGGGGCCGTGCAACCTTGGATTTAACCTCGCATTGCATTGTCCCGTGGAGCCAAGAGATCGACTGCACGTTCATCTTGCCTTTACACACACTAGCGCTGCTTGTGTAGCAAAAGAGAGGGGAAGGAGAGGCCCAACAATAATCGAGGATGAAGTATGTAGTTAGTGTGTTGGGTGTTGGGTATTATGTATGTTGTACCAATGTAGTGACCATATCCCCTCCTAGTGAATTCCTAGAAGCAAGTAAAAGGTTCTTGAATAAGTCAACCGCCGTAACCGTTAGCAAGCGCCACTACTGTCGAGTCATTTACTCCATTCGCTTTTGCTCCAGTGACCATAGTCTAGTTCAGAACAAAAATATAACCTGAAATTCCTCATATCTCCGAAATAGCCAGGATGGCTCGGGCCAAATGTGTAACGAGACTAAAACCCCCCATCCAAACCAGCGGCGCCAATGATTGGCTTCGCGCCCCAGCAGCCCGCCGATCGATGATCCGACGCAACAATGACTGGCTGCGGCAACAACCACGTAGGAAGGGCTAGATCGTGTGGATTCACCGCCAGTTGCCCCCCTTGCGTGCAG